TGATCATTGTTTTGGGCAGACAATGTTTAATTTATATCCTCTGAATCCTGACTTCCTAGAAATCACAGACGATCGTGTCAAGGGTGACAATCTAATTTGTGATTTCAATTTTGATTTTATCTATTTTAAAACAAGAGATTCGGCAGAATTTTCAGATTCTAGAGTACCGCCTGCTTTTCGAGACAAGGACGCTTGGTTCAAATGCAAGCTACAGGACACCTCCCAAATCTGTGACGGATATTCCCAATGCCTAACCGACGAATGCAATTGTCTTGATAACCAATGGCCTGTTTTCTACTGTGCAGACGGTTCGGGCTGTGTCGCAATGGATAATCTCTGTAACAAAATTCAGGATTGTACTGATGGCTCTGATGAGTGTTTTTGTGCCGGTTACTTTGTACTTTCTTCTGTTTCAGGAACCGCTGGCAAGATTTGCGTTCCAGAAGATGAGTATTGCCAGGATAGTGCTTACCGTTCATCCAAGTACTCCATTGAGATAGGTGATCCCAGTTTATGTGCTGCTGAAAAGCAAGCTTTTGCTGAGCAGTTAAGCCCTCTTCATACATGTTTACAAATGTATACAGAAGACCATCATCTAAATATTGTGAAATTTTGCCAACTCAATTGCAGACACGTAGACGGATTTGAAGACGGCTGGGCGACATACTGTGACCATCTCTGGTTAGGATATCCTGTACCTATGGTGTTTCGCTGCAACCTGAGCGATTACGAGGAAACTTATTCCCTGCACTACCTATGTGACGGAGAGGTTCAATGCGGCAACCAAGCGGATGAGACTGGGTGTCCAGGACGGTTTTATTGCAATCCTAACACGACGATTGAATGGGTGGAAGAGAGGCAGGTTTGTGATAACGTGAAGGATTGTATTAATGGAGCTGATGAATGTGGAACATGCCAGTTTTCAAAGCTGTCTTCCTCTGATTTCCTGATCAAATCGAGGGTGGTCCTCGCTGCAACGATCACCATGGGCATCTTGATAGTTAAAATGAACATGGAAGAAGGCTACAAGTGTTGGAATATGAAGTGCAACTCTAAAGTAAAACAGGTTGACAACGTGTTTTTGATGCAAATTTTCTTCCATGATACCCTCATGGGAGTATATTTGTGTTGTATAGTAATGGCCGCTTTCGTCCTCGATCGTAAAGGCGAGTACTGCCAGCTGGAAGAAGATTGGAGAGCCAGTCCATTCTGTTCTATTCTTGGAGTCCTATTTTCCTTCTCGTCTCACGGCTCGCTTATGTTGATAGCTTCTATAAGTATCACCAGGTTCTTGTCATGCCACAGCATAGTGATTGATATTAGAATGAGAGCTATCGTCATATGGGTCACATTTCTGAACACGCTCAATCTTCTACACTCGGTTCTTCCTTTGATGCCAATCTCGGCGATTAAAGATATTTTCAGAACGAAAATATTCTTTAGTCACTTGGATGAAAATCCTTTCTTCGGCACAAATCCCATTAACCGGTCTCGTCTTGCTATGGTCCACAAGGGAATGCTCCACAGAGATGATGATGATATCTACAGAATGATCAGTGACCTGAGTAATGTCACATCAAATAGGGAGATCTTTGATGTCACGGAGATTAGCTACTACGGAAATACAGGCTTGTGTGTCCATAACATATTCAAATCCCAGGAGTCCTACCAGATCTACATAATCCTTTACTGCACAAGTATCGTGGTCCTACTTTGTATTGTCATCACCGCATACATTAAGATCATTCTAAAACAAAGGAAATCAAATGAGGCGGTAGCTCAAAAGGGTAAGGATGGGCAGAACTCCGTTCAAGTCAAGCTAACTTTAAAAGTGGCTCTGATGGTGGGATCACAGCTTATCTGCTGGACTCCCTTCATTCTCACCGTCCTGTATTTCCAATACATCTCCAAGGAGCCAGCTTCTACAACAGTATTTGAGATCTTTGCACTCGTGGTGATCCCGATTAACAGCTTCCTGAATCCTGTGTTCCACAGTGAGCTCTACAAGACAACATCGCTAGCAGTCTGGAAGAAGTGGAGACAGTTTGTGAATTGCGTAACACCCATGGAAGGACAGGTTAGCTAACAAAACGCAACATCTTTCGGAGCTTGATTTTTGGAAACCCTCATGTCGAGATATTAAGCTGAGGGAAGGACTAGATCTGGACAATTATAAATTTGATGAGGAAAAACATAATATAATCTGACACAAAATAGAAAAAGGACAAAAAAAAGGGAAAAAACGACTTAACCGACAAGTTCTGAGGATAAATAGACCCAAGACTCCAAATATGTCACCTTTGGTCCCACATCAAGAATGCAGATTAATGCAGATTAATGTTCCCACTAAAAATTATCTTACACCCTAAAAAAGTCAGGTATTTTGAAAATTTCCTTGATGACACAAAATTTCCTCCAAAATCCAAAATTTCTCGCATATTATCTGCCAATCTGCCAACAGCTGCCGTCTTACTGGATGTGGGCTCTTGTTAACTTGAGATTTTAAACAAACCTTTGGCCTGGGACAGTGGGACTCGTTGTTTTGTTTGCTCACTGCACTAATAACTATTAGTGATATTTTAGCTGAATTAGTTTGGGTGAACTTTTATTATTAACGTAGTGGTGGGTTGAGGTGGCATCAAATAATAAACTATGGTCACTCTCAAACTCTCCGATAAGCATTGACTTTCACCACTTTTGCTGATTAAGATAATTTGAATCAATACTGTTATATGAGTTCGCTGCATAAGGTTTAGAACATTGAATCACCATTTGTATTCTTTGATTGTGCCATAAAAATAATTAATTGTTAAATGGAGTCGATTGTATTATTTTTCCCTAAAAGTAAAGATACGAAATAAATTCACGTCGTCCTGCACCGGAATTTCGTGCTCATCATTTCGAAAATTCGTATGTAAATTTTGTAACCGTATCGAAAAACTGTGATGTATTGTTATGATTTACTAGATCGGCTGATGATCTGATTAAAACGGATTTAAAATCCAAACAATTTTTAGACTTAATAGAAGTGAGATAACAAAAAGACTAAAATACGCTACAGGGTTTAATAGTAAGTACATACTGAACAGCATCTCCCCAATCAAATATGGAAAAGTTCGAGAGAGAAATTACTAAATTTGATTCTGCAATGTAAATGGTCACTGATCCCTGGCTTTTTACTGTTATTGGGCGCAGAGTTAGACAGTCTATTATTACTCACCAAGACGAAAATGTTAAGATATCTGTGATTAAGGTTTGTAGATCGCAAAACGTTCGGTGGAGATCATTATTGCTGTATTGCAATGAGACTGATTTGTTTTGCATAAATTTGATGTATCGCGCGCACGGCGCACCTCTTATGTTAACGCTGAAGTCACTGATCGGTTTAAAAAATTAGGCGCAATATGCAACGGTTGAGCCCTAAAAGTGCACAATGAATATTAATCTACTCGTTGCTGTTACCTTGAATTCTACCAAACACCTCCACCTCCACCAAGACTAACTCCTCGCTGGACTGTGCTGCACCTCTAACAGTCAACACCTTGCCTAAACTTCTGCTAACCCAATGGTACGGATTCTTGATAGTATCTATTTTCCGAGGCACCACATTACCATCCAGAAACAGGTTAGCTAGATGTGTTGTATCATCGCCTCCCACCTGGCTGAATATCCTGATCTCGTGTAGGTAGGTCAGGTCAGGGAAAGTCAGCTCCCACCAGGCCTGGTCGCCTGTTGTCTGTGTTCTGGACATTGCACATCTGAAATAACACGTACCAAGTGCTGGTTGTTATCATAATACGTTATTGTTCGAACTCATTTAATGTTTACAAGTAAACAAATTCTTAATTATTAAATGGTAGGTTTAGATAACCACAGGATTTGCTTAACTCCAATTTCCTCTAACCTTAACTGATCTTGCTCATTCCAGATGTGGTATGTATTACCATCGACAGCTTTTTCAGCTGTACAATAGGCGGCAGATCCACCATTTTCTGCTTCCGATTGGTAGTCATCAATTTGACTTGCTAACGCTTTAGCTGCTATGTTGTTATATGATATTCCTGAAAATATTGATTAGCGATCATTTCAAAAGTCTTTAGTTGAACAGTCATTTTGAAATGTATATTTATTCGATGATTCCCACATTGAACTTGAAATGATTTAAAGATAAAATAGATCCAATTAAAGAACACAGCGTAAAGACTATGAAACAATAACCATACCTTTATCATCAGCGCCATACACCTCGACTTCACTGAGCTGCAAATACGAAGCGCTCCCATTGATAAGTATCTCCCGACCAAACATATCAATATCTCTAAAAGTGATAGGATCAGCGAACTCTAGATACGCAGCTATCCCAACTAGAACATGGTCGATATGAACTCTAACTCCCTCTATTCGGCTCATAAACTCGTCTTGTCTGTTGAACAGTCTGATTGTTGATATGTATAGGGTTGTTGGAAAGGTCAGTCTCCACCAGGCTTCAGGCCCCTGTGTGGACGTCATCGCTATAGAATTCCTGGGGAGGCGACTGTTAGTGCTGAATAAGCCCATATATTTACACACGTCTCGAATTTATTGTTTTGCCCAGGATCAAAGTTGATCGAACTTAAAATTATTCCAGTTGAGTTAATTGGAAACATAATAGTCTGATCACACAATATTACTTATGAGAGTTGTTGATCCAAAGTCCTGAAACGTTCTCATCTACAGCTTTATCAGCTCCACAATACTCATCGACTGAGTCTATCTGTGTTGCTGTGCCCTCTTGAGTTAGGTAGCGATACACTGAAACTGCAATATTTTGCTTCAATTTGGTCGTGTTAAGATGTTGATACTCAACGATCAGTTTTAATCAACCACGATAAAAATTGTCGACACTAGCAAATCTATCAGGTTTCAAACAAGCAGTTAAATTATGTAATTATGAATAATGAATAGCTGTCTATCTCATGAAATACGCAGATTTGTGTGCACTAATCAACTTTGTATTTCAGGAGATGATGAACGGAGAAGAAGGAAAACAGATGATAAGACAGTGTATCGGACTAATCCAGCCGCCCAATAGCTTGGATTGGGCACAGCTATTTGTGGAGGGACTTATTTGTGTGGAGCGCTTCACATGTGTGTTCGAGATATGCAAGGATGATAATCTTGTCTTTACTCTGTTAGGTACCTTCAACCGCCTCTTATCTCAGTTTTTAGCTCTTACAGCTTGTTGCTTATTTTATAATATCATAGCATTGTAGAGTTTAGACTTCGTTTGGTTTGCTTTATGCCTCGAGAGGAACCAAAAGGAACAAAAATAAAGTTTCAGTATAAGACTAGGCGTGATACTACTACTAGTGTACTACGTGATACTAGTGTATTTAACTATTAAATATTAGAAAGTAAAATTACAATACCATGAGCTGGTAGGATGCAGTAAGGCTCTGCACTGTAACTGAAATCATCTCCCTTGTACGTGTTACATGTTACAGTGTCACTCCCCCAGTTTATATAGGGTTCCTCGCACCTCACTGATATTCTCGTCCCGTTTCCCACGGGAAATTCCTTTCCCGTTGTTATTCCCGTCCATTTATCGGGAAGAGACGTACAAACTGAAGTAGTGTATATTTACATCTTGTTTTCTAACTTGTTTACTACTAAACCTTAGCTTTGGTCAGACCGATTCACGTTTATTCCAGAATTCCATTGACTACAGCATAATCCATGTTTAAGTAAGAAAATATATTAAAAGAAATTACTAACGTAAAAAAGTAGTCATGCTGACTGACCTGTTGGCATGGTTCTGAATGAGTTAGCTGCTCCTCCTTCAATCTTAATACGGTCTGTATCCTCCACCCATTGAGATGCACATCTTCCGTCTTCACCAGCTAACGTCAAGTTGAATATTGTAAAACCTTCACATGTGCAACTTAGCATAGCGTCCGTTTTAAAGAACGTCCACACCTTCTCTCTGCCTCCAGGCATGCTAAAATCGAGACTTTCCGTGCATGATGATATAGTGTAAACTGGTGGGTCGGTAAACTCTATACGTATCTTCTGTTCAATTTGTGCGTCTTTCGATAAAAATTCCACCAGTAAGGTATCCTTGCTGCGAACTAGAGAACTAGTTCTGATTTGAAGTGGGGTGATCTTGACTTCGGCAGTTCCTACTGTGGTCCAATCTGAGTAAATTATAGAGTTGAACGTTTTCTTGAATTGTTGTTTTCTTACGGGAATCTGTTTGCTTGAAATCAGATTATTTTATAAATTCGAATCTTCAGACCGTTTTTATGGAATATAAGGTAAGGCACATATTAGAAACATTATGAGTTACATACCAAGAATGCAACCAGGTCTGAAACTATAAGCAAAGTCGTCATTTTCATTCGTATCACAGGTAACTGTCCTACTCCCGCCGTTTTTAAACCCAGGCTTTTCACAAGACACTCCAAATTTAGTGCCCAAATCCGCTGGAAACTCTACATCTTGGTCTGCTACAATTCCATCCCATTCATTTGGTATTCCTTCACAAAACCTCGGTCTGGTTCTGTATTTTGGACGGCTTTGTTCGGAGTTCCAACCAAAAGATACACCCACAAATGTTTCATCCTTCCAGTTTGTGCAATTTTCAGAGAACACGTAATCCAGCACCTTCATTCCATTGGAGTAAAGCTTTATCCGGCTTTTTTGCTTTGTAATCGTCCAGATTTTTAGTTGCTCAGACGAGAGTTCTTTCTTGAAACTCCGTTCCCCTTCAAAGCATGGCTCCAACTTATACTTAACTTGTGAATCAAACATAAGCTGTAATTTGCCAATTTTGGATTCTTTACTGACAAATAAATCAATCCAAACGGAGTCACCACTGCCTGGCTTTACTGCTGTCTGTATTTGTAAAGGGAGGGCTGCTACCATGGAGTGCTCGATCATTGCAGAGGTCGGAGCATCCAGCCATGCGTTCACTCCAGCAAAGTGGACTAAAAACCACACCAAACGTAACATATTCAACATCGAACTTGTAGGGAATCTCCGCCTCATGGAACTGAGGTTTCCATCTTTAAAATATAGAGTTTGGCGTACTTCTCATAAGGATTAAATTACTTACCTATATTTAAACATATTATATATATTAGAATGAAGTGAAACTATCGGACTGCAATGAATGGGGACTTGCCACCCCATGGCAAAATATATTGACTCTGTTACATTGTTTCTTGTTAATATAAAACTCCGCCTCCGTTACAAATTGGACTGGGATCTGGCAATAATACACCTTAGATCAATAAAATATGATAAAGTAATGTATAACTAGACTGAATGCAAGTGTCTAATAAAATATAAAATATAAAATTATCTACTACAAGAAAGCCTAATAATTAACTATGAAAGAGTATTTATGGTAAATAAAACTCTTACAACACACGCAAAGAAACAGCTCTCGTAAAAGGTTACACAATACACAACGTAATTAAGGCGGAATCGAACAAAATGTCGACACTGAACCTACAACAGAGCACGTACGCGTTTCCACACGTGCAACTATGGAACTGTATAATGTGCACGTGGGTATGCGTACGTAAAACTAAAAGGAAGCCTGAAACACACTATAATCTACAGGAAGTCACCAATTACTGTAAAATTATGCCAGTGCCTGAGGATGCACGCTGGTTGACTATTAATAAATAACTTAAAATACCTATGCAATATCTTCCGTGGCTGATATAGTTGGCCAGTATCAACTCCATTTTTTTGGACTTTGGTCGCTTATACGGCCTAAGCGGTATACAAATAAAGCGTTATTATTATTATTATTATTAGTAGCTAAGTGAAGTTGAATATGCACTTTGAGGTGTACAATGTTTTTTTGGCACAGGGTCCTTGGTAAAAGAGACTTGCATTTTAACTAAAGATAACCGTAACATCCTTATTTATTATCAAGAAGCAACATAAGGTCTAAGTTACTTATTTTTTACAATATTCACCGGGAAAGACTGTTTTGCCGATCATAATAGCACCATTTTGTTAATGGAAAGATATATTAGTGAAAATTTGCTAGGGTAGCTCTGAACTAACGCTATTATTAGGCGCACTAATTAGGGGAGGGGAGAGGGGAAATTTTCCTAAGAGGACGAGACGACGCACAGGCAAGTACCTGGGGTATAGGTGTGACTTAAAATGCAAAGTTTACAGGCTCCACAGGTCGTACCTCAGATTAATTTGAAAGTTAAAACCCTAATTTACCTGCAACTCAAACTATTCTGTTGATTATGAAGAAGGTTTGAGGCCTTTGAGCACATCATACATTTTTTTTGTTCGCTAAGTAGGGATACCACATATTTTAAATTTGACAATGAAGCTCCTCAAAGTAAGCATACAATCTATCAATAAAGATTTCCTAGGTTTAGTGAATTATCTTTCCCCATGTTCATCATACTGTTTTACTGTGCCCTCCCTCTGCTCGATCATATAAATGCTAATAAGTCAAGCAAAACTGTTATGTTCTAAGGTGGCAGCCTTTGTCATCCATCCTTGATATTAAAAGAAGGCAGAAGGCAGAAGAGTTATGTGGGCGTGGCTGCAGATTCTTCGAATTCTTATCGCATGCTAGACGCATTGTTATTAATACGGTGTTGTGATTGGTTGGCAAATAAAAGTGATAATATTTATACTGCTCTTAAAGAAATACTGTAACCAGTAGCTATGGAGTTAAGCACGTGTCAGTGCTTACGCGTTACCATGACGTCCTTGTAAATATAAAAGAATATGATTAAGACTCAGACAAATCGGCGGAGTCTCAAAAAAATTGGTTGCAAAATTTAAATATTTAAATCAGCCATCACTGCCATTTTAGGGTTTATTACCCCTATTGCTTATTTGCTGGGTGCTCAAGGATTCAACTGAAATATTAAAATGGAACATTTCTAATATCACCCTACCCACAACTGCAAAGTTTATATTGATAACTTCGCTAGCTCACTAAAGTAAATAGAACTATTTAGCATGACCAATTACTAACTGTGGTAAATTCCATACAGTGTGTCCCCAAAATAAACAATATCTACCAGTATCTGCACAAATAGGCTTTTAGAGGCTTATGATGCTTCATAAGTTGTATAATATAACTGTGGCCATGTCTTATTATATAGGCAAATTCCTTACGACACGATTTTTCCAAAATCCCAAAATGCAGTGCTATTTGGGCTGCAGTCAACCAAAACAGGTTTTCAGGAATATATTCCTTAAAAACCAGACCTTATGTTGCTTCATTACTCGTTCATAAATAAAGAGATAAAGCTATTGCGGTTATTTAGCTATTATATTGCGGTTATTATTCTAAGCTCTTTTAGTCATCGTTTTAAATACGATTTAAAATTGAATTGTCAATAACGACATTTATTTCCGCAGAAGTGCTATCAGAAAAAGTAAAAAGTGCACCAAGCGCGACTAAAAAGCAGTTGTTTGGCGAATTGGAGAGTGCTGTTCCTGTTACCACATTCTTGTTCCTGGCTAAACTATTTGCAAAGAACAGACAGCATATCATCGACCTTGCTACAGGTTTTTCCCACACCTCCACTCTGCACTCCCCTCACCTCTCTCTCATTCCCCACACCTCCACTCTGCACTCCCCTCACCTCTCTCTCATTCCCCACACCTCCACTCTGCACTCCCCTCACCTCTCTCTCATTCCCCACACCTCCACTCTGCACTCCCCTCACCTCTCTCTCATTCCCCACACCTCCACTCTGCACTCCCCTCACCTCTCTCTCATTCCCCACACCTCCACTCTGCACTCCCCTCACCTCTCTCTCATTCCCACACTCTGCACTCTGCACTACCCTCACCTCTCTCTCATTCCCCACACCTCCACTCTGCACCCCCCTCACCTCTCTCTCATTCCCCACACTCTGCACTCTGCACTCCCCTCACCTCTCTCTCATTCCCCACACCTCCACTCTGCACTCCCCTCACCTCTCTCTCATTCCCCACACCTCCACTCTGCACTCCCCTCACCTCTCTCTCATTCCCCACACCTCCACTCTGCACTCCCCTCACCTCTCTCTCATTCCCTACACCTCCACTCTGCACTCCCCTCACCTCTCTCTCATTCCCCACACCTCCACTCTGCACTCCCCTCACCTCTCTCTCATTTCCCACACTCTGCACTCTGCACTACCCTCACCTCTCTCTCATTCCCCACACCTCCACTCTGCACTCCCCTCACCTCTCTCTCATTCCCCACACCTCCACTCTGCACTCCCCTCACCTCTCTCTCATTCCCCACACCTCCACTCTGCACTCCCCTCACCTCTCTCTCATTCCCCACACCTCCACTCTGCACTCCCCTCACCTCTCTCTCATTCCCCACACCTCCACTCTGCACTCCCTCACCTCTCTCTCATTCCCCACACCTCCACTCTGCACTCCCCTCACCTCTCTCTCATTCCCCACACCTCCACTCTGCACTCCCCTCACCTCTCTCTCATTCCCCACACCTCCACTCTGCACTCCCCTCACCTCTCTCATTCCCCACACCTCCACTCTGCACCCCCTCACCTCTCTCATTCCCCACACCTCCACTCTGCACTCCCCTCACCTCTCTCTCATTCCCCACACCTCCACTCTGCACTCCCCTCACCTCTCTCTCATTCCCACACCTCCACTCTGCACTCCCCTCACCTCTCTCTCATTCCCCTCACCTCCACTCTGCACCCCCTCACCTCTCTCTCATTCCCCACACCTCCACTCTGCACCCCCTCACCTCTCTCTCATTCCCCACACCTCCACTCTGCACTCCCCTCACCTCTCTCATTCCCCCTCTCTCATTCCCCTCTCTCATTCCCCACACTCTACACTCTGCACTCCCTCACCTCTCTCTCATTCCCCACACCTCCACTCTGCACCCCCTCACCTCTCTCTCATTCCCCTCACCTCCACTCTGCACCCCCTCACCTCTCTCTCATTCCCACACCTCCACTCTGCACTCCCCTCACCCCTCTCTCATTCCCCTCACCTCCACTCTGCACTCCCTCACCTCTCTCTCATTCCCCACACCTCCACTCTGCACTCCCCTCACCTCTCTCTCATTCCCCTCACCTCCACTCTGCACCCCCTCACCTCTCTCTCATTCCCCACACCTCCACTCTGCACTCCCCTCACCTCTCTCATTCCCCTCTCTCATTCCCCTCTCTCATTCCCCACACTCTACACTCTGCACTCCCTCACCTCTCTCTCATTCCCCACACCTCCACTCTGCACCCCCTCACCTCTCTCTCATTCCCCACACCTCCACTCTGCACTCCCCTCACCTCTCTCTCATTCCCCACACCTCCACTCTGCACCCCCTCACCTCTCTCTCATTCCCCACACCTCCACTCTGCACCCCCTCACCTCTCTCATTCCCCCTCTCTCATTCCCCTCTCTCATTCCCCACACTCTACACTCTGCACCCCCTCACCTCTCTCTCATTCCCCACACCTCCACTCTGCACTCCCTCACCTCTCTCTCATTCCCCACACTCTACACTCTGCACTCCCCTCACCTCTCTCTCATTCCCCACACCTCCACTCTGCACCCCCTCACCTCTCTCTCATTCCCCTCACCTCCACTCTGCACCCCCTCACCTCTCTCTCATTCCCCACACCTCCACTCTGCACTCCCCTCACCTCTCTCATTCCCCCTCTCTCATTCCCCTCTCTCATTCCCCACACTCTACACTCTGCACTCCCCTCACCTCTCTCTCATTCCCCACACCTCCACTCTGCACTCCCCTCACCTCTCTCTCATTCCCCACACCTCCACTCTGCACCCCCTCACCTCTCTCTCATTCCCCACACCTCCACTCTGCACTCCCCTCACCTCTCTCTCATTCCCACACCTCCACTCTGCACCCCCTCACCTCTCTCTCATTCCCCACACCTCCACTCTGCACTCCCCTCACCTCTCTCTCATTCCCCACACCTCCACTCTGCACTCCCCTCACCTCTCTCTCATTCCCCACACCTCCACTCTGCACTCCCCTCACCTCTCTCTCATTCCCCACACCTCCACTCTGCACTCCCCTCACCTCTCTCTCATTCCCCACACCTCCACTCTGCACTCCCCTCACCTCTCTCTCATTCCCCACACCTCCACTCTGCACTCCCCTCACCTCTCTCATTCCCCCTCTCTCATTCCCCTCTCTCATTCCCCACACTCTACACTCTGCACCCCCTCACCTCTCTCTCATTCCCCACACCTCCACTCTGCACTCCCTCACCTCTCTCTCATTCCCCACACCTCCACTCTGCACTCCCCTCACCTCTCTCTCATTCCCCACACCTCCACTCTGCACCCCCTCACCTCTCTCTCATTTCCCCTCACCTCCACTCTGCACCCCCTCACCTCTCTCTCATTCCCCACACCTCCACTCTGCACCCCCTCACCTCTCTCTCATTCCCCACACCTCACTCTGCACTCCCTCACCTCTCTCATTCCCCCTCTCTCATTCCCCTCTCTCATTCCCCACACTCTACACTCTGCACTCCCCTCACCTCTCTCTCATTCCCCACACCTCCACTCTGCACCCCCTCACCTCTCTCTCATTCCCCACACCTCCACTCTGCACTCCCCTCACCTCTCTCTCATTCCCACACCTCCACTCTGCACCCCCTCACCTCTCTCTCATTCCCCACACCTCCACTCTGCACCCCCTCACCTCTCTCATTCCCCCTCTCTCATTCCCCTCTCTCATTCCCCACACTCTACACTCTGCACCCCCTCACCTCTCTCTCATTCCCCACACCTCCACTCTGCACTCCCTCACCTCTCTCTCATTCCCCACACCTCCACTCTGCACTCCCCTCACCTCTCTCTCATTCCCCACACCTCCACTCTGCACCCCCTCACCTCTCTCTCATTCCCCTCACCTCCACTCTGCACCCCCTCACCTCTCTCTCATTCCCCACACCTCCACTCTGCACTCCCCTCACCTCTCTCTCATTCCCCACACCTCCACTCTGCACTCCCTCACCTCTCTCTCATTCCCCACACCTCCACTCTGCACTCCCCTCACCTCTCTCTCATTCCCCACACCTCCACTCTGCACCCCCTCACCTCTCTCTCATTCCCCTCACCTCCACTCTGCACCCCCTCACCTCTCTCTCATTCCCCACACCTCCACTCTGCACTCCCTCACCTCTCTCTCATTCCCCACACCTCCACTCTGCACTCCCCTCACCTCTCTCTCATTCCCCACACCTCCACTCTGCACTCCCTCACCTCTCTCTCATTCCCCACACCTCCACTCTGCACTCCCCTCACCTCTCTCATTCCCCACACCTCCACTCTGCACTCCCTCACCTCTCTCATTCCCCCTCTCTCATTCCCCCTCTCTCATTCCCCACACTCTACACTCTGCACCCCCTCACCTCTCTCTCATTCCCCACACCTCCACTCTGCACTCCCCTCACCTCTCTCATTCCCCTCTCTCATTCCCCTCTCTCATTCCCCACACTCTACACTCTGCACCCCCTCACCTCTCTCTCATTCCCCACACCTCCACTCTGCACTCCCCTCACCTCTCTCTCATTCCCCACACTCTACACTCTGCACCCCCTCACCTCTCTCTCATTCCCCACACCTCCACTCTGCACTCCCTCACCTCTCTCTCATTCCCCACACCTCCACTCTGCACTCCCCTCACCTCTCTCTCATTCCCCACACCTCCACTCTGCACTCCCTCACCTCTCTCTCATTCCCCACACCTCCACTCTGCACTCCCCTCACCTCTCTCTCATTCCCCACACCTCCACTCTGCACTCCCTCACCTCTCTCTCATTCCCCACACCTCCACTCTGCACTCCCCTCACCTCTCTCTCATTCCCCACACCTCCACTCTGCACTCCCCTCACCTCTCTCTCATTCCCCACACCTCCACTCTGCACTCCCTCACCTCTCTCTCATTCCCCACACCTCCACTCTGCACTCCCTCACCTCTCTCTCATTCCCCACACCTCCACTCTGCACTCCCCTCACCTCTCTCTCATTCCCCACACCTCCACTCTGCACTCCCTCACCTCTCTCTCATTCCCCACACCTCCACTCTGCACTCCCCTCACCTCTCTCTCATTCCCCACACCTCCACTCTGCACTCCCTCACCTCTCTCTCATTCCCCACACCTCCACTCTGCACTCCCTCACCTCTCTCTCATTCCCCACACCTCCACTCTGCACTCCCCTCACCTCTCTCATTCCCCCTCTCTCATTCCCCTCTCTCATTCCCCACACCTCCACTCTGCACCCCCTCACCTCTCTCTCATTCCCCACACCTCCACTCTGCACTCCCCTCACCTCTCTCTCATTCCCCACACTCTGCACTCTGCACTCCCCTCACCTCTCTCTCATTCCCCACACCTCCACTCTGCACTCCCCTCACCTCTCTCTCATTCCCCACACTCTACACTCTGCACTCCCCTCACCTCTCTCTCATTCCCTACACCTCCACTCTGCACCCCCTCACCTCTCTCTCATTCCCCACACCTCCACTCTGCACTCCCTCACCTCTCTCTCATTCCCCACACCTCCACTCTGCACTCCCCTCACCTCTCTCTCATTCCCCACACTCTGCACTCCCCTCACCCCTCTCTCATTCCCCACACTCTACACTCTGCACCCCCTCACCTCTCTCTCATTCCCCACACCTCCACTCTGCACTCCCTCACCTCTCTCTCATTCCCCACACCTCCACTCTGCACTCCCCTCACCTCTCTCTCATTCCCCACACCTCCACTCTGCACTCCCTCACCTCTCTCTCATTCCCCACACCTCCACTCTGCACTCCCCTCACCTCTCTCTCATTCCCCACACCTCCACTCTGCACTCCCCTCACCTCTCTCTCATTCCCCACACCTCCACTCTGCACTCCCTCACCTCTCTCATTCCCCACACCTCCACTCTGCACTCCCCTCACCTCTCTCATTCCCCCTCTCTCATTCCCCTCTCTCATTCCCCACACTCTACACTCTGCACCCCCTCACCTCTCTCTCATTCCCCACACCTCTACTCTGCACTCCCCTCACCTCTCTCTCATTCCCCACACCTCCACTCTGCACTCCCCTCACCTCTCTCTCATTCCCCACACCTCCACTCTGCACTCCCCTCACCTCTCTCTCATTCCCCACACCTCCACTCTGCACTCCCCTCACCTCTCTCTCATTCCCCACACCTCCACTCTGCACTCCCCTCACCTCTCTCTCATTCCCCACACCTCCACTCTGCACTCCCCTCACCTCTCTCTCATTCCCCACACCTCCACTCTGCACTCCCCTCACCTCTCTCTCATTCCCCCTCTCTCATTCCCCCTCTCTCGCCTCCATTTTTGTGTGTGGTGTATACGAACAATTTTAGCACCGAAAGAATATTCCACATCGTTTCTTAATACTATGGTCGGGGATATCAGTGTTGACTTAGTTACTGGTATCACCTCAAAACATTGAAAATATCAAGTCAATTTTCCTTCTTTTATTTCCTCTAATTTACTCCTTTTCAGGCGTCAACGTTCCAGAAGGAGAAGTGACAGTCCGCATTCTTCACATTCTAGCTAAAGTAACCGGCCTTTTCGAACATTACACACGGATCACTAACAATACTCCATTCCTTGAGTGCGTGGTTAAGATTCTGAACGAGATCAACACTAAAAAACCCATCAGATTCGATCAACCAAAAGAGGAGGTATTTTCATTTTATATCTAACCTAAATTCCAGCAATTTGTATCATGTTTTTCTGAAAAGTTGTATCTTTTATTTCTATCAATGTTTAATTTAGTACTTGTCCTGGCAGGTAACACCAGACGGCTCATTCGCGATCAGGAGAGAGTTGATACGAGTAATAACGAACATGTGCAGTAAAAACAAAGCTCATCAGGTTCCATGTTTTTCTTCGTTTTTCATAGTTCTTTTATTATTTGTTCATTAGTTTAATTGTTTCCCCGTATATTTGCTTTTGTATGTCAACATTTGCCAGAAGCTTTAAACCTTTTTTGCTCAATCTGTGATCGACTATTAATCAATTTCTAGTGGAACCAGTTAATTCAACCTTGTAACGAAGTATTTCTCCGAAGGATAAAGTTCGGTTGCTGGGCGGAGTACATACAGTGTTGAACCATTGCGTAGTTGACCAGCAGAATCCGTATCTCCAACAGTGGTGCATTGTCGCTCTACGCATGCTCATGGATGACAACCAAGAAAACCAAGATATTATAAGAGGACTCCAGAATCAGAATATTGAAAACAATGAAGCTATGAAGCAGCTTGGGATCGAAGTCGCCAAAATGGACGGGGATAAGCCGCGTGTTGCGGTCGTGCATCCTACAGAGCCTGAGAATTGATTGCTAGTTTCATGCGAATTTTGTTACGGAACAATCGGGTGCGCGCAGCGCTATCACTAATTTCACGCGCGTACTTTCGTGGGGTTGCTCGATCGATCTAATGTTCGTTCTTCATCGATGCTGTTGACGAGAGGGTGTTACTATGGAGATACAGGATACTCTATGCCACCTGAGTGTTATAGAGCTTCCACACTGTGATTTTATTCAGGAATTCATATCATTCGATGCAATACAGTTATTTATCAACCATTAAAATTGAATTGTTGGATGATAGTGTTTCATTTGTCAGATGGCCGGGCATGAGCGCGGTCTACAACGTGAGACAAGGCCGGATATGATCCCACCAAACTCTTGGGAAATGGATATTAATTGGATCGTCTGCTGACTCATCATTAATTAAATTGAAGCCATTGTGCTGCAAGCGTGTCTAGCAAAATATAAGTTATCTCAATCTGCTCTAATCATAGTTTGACTAACTAGGGAGATAATACCGGGCCCGAATGAGCGAGCTTCTCTTCACGTGAGAATATTATTTTAACATTTAATTACCCAAAAAAAGCCACGTTATTACACAAATCTGCCGTCCGAACAGCTAGATTTATATGACTAAGTAAAAAAGCATCTCAATTGTTTTTCGAATAACTAAAACAAATAATACAGAAATAATAAAGCATGATCCCAATAAACCAGATTTAATAAATTAGTTTCGTCAGTCTTTAATTGTTTCTGAATAAATATCAAAAGATATTCTCTTTGAAAACCATATCATACATATACCATTTTCATCTTGTTACGTCAACCCGAAGCAAAGCATACATATCAAAAGTTTTCATTTGCATTCAATCCAGAAATTTGCCGAAATCTTCTTTCAACTCTTAACAAACATGGCTTTGAATAAACTTGAATCACAATGAAAAATGAAAATGACTCCTACAGGCTTTCTCTCCTTCATCACGGTCGCTCTCATAACGACACAGACATGTCCAGGCCACGTTTAGCCATCTGTTCGTACAGCAGTCTGTCAGTGAGAGAGACTGATGGTCTCACATTTAACAAAGCTCTGGTGAAATGTTCCTTGGCCACCTGACAGTTGTCACCACTTCGTCCAGACAGCATGTCAGCTTTCAGACAGATCACGGAGGCTTCTCGTACAATTGCAGATAAATCAGCACCACTGAAAAATATTACATCTTTATTATCAATTATCATGCATGAAACTAAGTAAATGTACAAATACAGAGCATGTTTTATTTTTTATATAAATTGATCGTTACAGAATATAATTATAAGGTGCAGAAAAATGGGTCAGTAGCGCCTATAGAAATGTTGAAACCCGCATCTTTTTAAAAACTAACGTGTATCCCTGAGCCGCGTCAGCTATCTCACTCAGAGACACATCGGAATGTAGTTTAGGTTTACCACCTCTAGTGATAGTCTGTAGGATCGCTAACCGATCTTCTGCGTTGGGCAACCCAACAAACAACGTCTGAAAAAGCGTTCAAGTTGTTGTCACTGATCGAATTTTAACTGGATAAGCAACCATTCTTTATTATCAACGCCAAATTGCCAATAGTTGCAGTTTTCACAAATCCGCTCTTAAATTACCTTGTCGAGTCTGCCCGGTCTAAGAATAGCAGGATCTATAATATCTATCCTGTTGGTAGCTCCGATGATAAAAACGTTCTTCCTAGAGTTCAGTCCATCCATTTCCGTTAGAAGCTGGTTGACAACTCGCGCTGACGCGTTTGTCTAGGAGATAGCACGTGTTACTCATTGGAAAATCAGTGAAATAAGTGAATTGCACGTTGATAAGTATTACGCGGTATCTGAGAAAACAATAAAACTAAACATTTGCAAAGTGCCAACCTCTGAAGAGGACCGTTTGGGTACCAGAGAGTCGATCTCATCGAAGAAAATGACACAAGGAGCCGAAGCCCGGGCCCGTTGGAAGACTGTCCGTACTGCTCGTTCACTCTCTCCCACATACATGTTCAGTAGCTCAGGCCCTGTAAATATTATATTGACAACCTCAGGTATAGTTAATTTGCTACTCTTAATCTATATTCTACAGTCGTTTTAAGTGAACTTCAGGCGGAATCTGGCAATTTCAAATGGACAGAGTTCAGCATTTTGCCAAGGTAGGATTTTGACTATGTACTCAAATACCAGATCATAATTGAAGGATTATGTGTAAGAAAGTTGTACAAAGAAAAGTGGTCTAAACCAGATTAATCATCTAGTAGGCTGTTTCTCACCTTTAACAGATATAAAGTTGATACCACTTTCGTTGGAGACTGCTTTAGCTAGAAGTGTTTTACCACATCCCGGAGGTCCGGCAATCAGAATGCCCTGACTTCGGGTCAGTCCCAGCGCTGCAAACTTCTCCGGATATCTGCGGAAATTTTGTTATTAATAAGTGTTACCGACAAAAAAGCAAACGAAAATATTGAAACTAGTGAGGAGATTGACATTGGTTAGCTGGAAAGTGGCAGTGTAAAAAGTGTTCTAGTTGAGGTAAGATGGAGTTGCGGAAACGGATATTATTTATCAGGGAACGTTCACATATCTTCTACTTCTGTTTTGCACTTAGCGTTGCAGTTGCGAACCCCTCCAGTCTAGCTCTCCCGAATATAGTGTGAATAATCTACTAGTCCTCCTTTTTATACTATTTCAACAGATCACATCTTCTGCATATTTATTATTTTATAATTAAGTATATACTTAAGGGAGTCCTGGAGTGCAGCTAGCAGGAGTTGCACTCGAGGGCACGGCGAGAAGGCCTTCCACTTACCGCAGGAGGCCAGCGTCCGTTGACCTCAACAGAAAGAGAGACCATCATTCATTTCAAGACATCAAAAAGTAAAAACCGTTATTCTTCCACGTTCAGTTGGTTACTGTTTGTCATTTCAAGATATTTGCAACCAAGTAAATTGGTCATGCTATTTCTTACAGCAATTAGTTAGAAATCACACAGACTCCGACCAAGGTACGCCCAATTACCGTCATGTTAGCAGGAACTCTCTAATTATAGTCGACATTTCAGTTACTGTGCTTGTTCCACAGCTAGAAGAGTATGCTTCACCTTAATTAAAGCTCTATCTTGCTTTTAATTGGAGACGTTCTTGTTTAACTTTCTTTATTATTTTTCTAGGGTTAACGAAAGTTCAAACTATTTATAACTATGCACCCTCTGCCCTGCGACTGCCTTTTATAAATGTTTCACTTTAAGCATGATGGGGAACAGAAAACAGATTTCCGATTGTTGAGGGCAAGGTATCGTCAAAACTTAAAAATTTCAACCTTATGACACCAGCATCCCAGATCTTTAGATATGTAATATGTATAAACATTAAATATTGAGGTCACGTACATATTCCATTATCTTGACACTTGAGTCTGTTTAAATGTAAAAGAATATGAATAATGCAGCTTCCTTCCCATGGAAATATCATGACCAAACACGAAGTGCTCAAGAGGTGCATTGTTCTAAACATTCTTTAAAGCTTTTAGTGTTAGAGCACCACGACGTTCTGTTAGATGTATGAGAGGGTAAATATAGACACAAAACAAGTTCCAAAGTTTCCTCTCTTACTATATGTTATATACTTTATATAATGCAAGCTACATTGTTTTATAATTTAAGTGCTATTCATTTTGTTACCCTTGCGTTGCTTTCACGAGGCTTGTACCAACATAATTGCAAAATTGTTGCAGAATTGTTTGTACGTCCATTTCTTAGTAAAATATACAAGGTCGCAAAGTATACATTCCCCCGAGGAAGGAAGCACATAAAAAAGCATGTTAAATAATATTTGTAATATATTTTTATTTTCGTCCCATGGTTAACACCTTCCTTTCAAGCTCAGCTTCACATCTAAAATGAACACAACAAAACACGAAACCCACTCCGGGAACGCCACCGAGAACAGCTGGGTGTTCATCATCTCCAACCCCTCCGAGCGACACGTCCTCCTCTTCTACATTTCCCTGGCAGCCTTATTCTCCATCATGGGCAACTCCTTCGTAATCTACGCTACCTCCCAGTACAACAGCACTACCCAACAGTTCGGGATGGCAAAACCAACCATCTTCCTGATCAAGCAGCTGGCGATAGCAGACCTGCTGTTCTGTCTGCTGATAATAGTGCCCCACGTGACCACACTCATCTACAGCTCCTGGGTTCTGGGTCACGTGGTGTGTCAGGTCATGATCTACTGTCACAACATACCTGCTATCAGCACGGTGTCCTTTATCTTCGCTATCTCGCTACACCGGTACATGAGATGCCATGATCCGGTCCGACGCCGGCTGTTCAATGTGAAGGGGATTGGGAGTAGCCTGCTGCTGACAGGTACCATCTGGACATGGTCCTCCCTTAAAACTATCCTCAAGTTAGTACTGAGAGTGGACACTACGGTCAGTGAGGTTGAGAATGAGGTTGGGGTTCACTGCATGATAGCTAACCACAACCGTCAACATCACACCCTCCTCTCCTGGATCAACGTCCTCCAAACAGACCTCCCAATACTCCTCACAATCGGACTAAACATCAAACTCCTCCATTTCGCTCGGAAGAAGTTCAGGTCCCTTCCTCACAACAACAAAACAGCCATCCTCACCACAGCTTCCATCTGCCTGGTCTTGTTAGCTTCTCACACGGTAAGGGAAGTGACGGAGATTCTGTATCACGTGTTCGGGGTGAAACCGAGCTTTACCGTCAGGAAACTCTCCACTTGTTTGTATTACTTGAACGCCTTCTGCAATTCGTTTCTGTACATTATGGTGAACAAGGGTTTCAGGATATTTGCGAAGGACGTGGTAGTGAAGAAGAGGAAACAGCTGAGTGTTAAGTTGAGCTCGAGGTTGGATTTTAGCAGATCATCAACACGAACGCTGCTCAGTGTATTCATGAAAAGGGGAAGTGACGAAGTAGTTACAGGTGACCCAGTGCAAGTGGTTACCGTTGCCCAGGGGGAAAGTGTTTTGGTAGTGTCAGCTGCTGCAGCGGTTTAACAATCTCTCAAAACTTTACAATCTTTAGCTAGTTTAATACAGAACAGATGGAGAAACAGAAAATCAGTTTTACTATATTCTGTTTAAATTGAGAATAACTTCTCATATTTACCACAAAACACTGACATACTCCTGTTATTGTACATGTTTGGTTGTTTGAGTTTAAACATTTCATTTTCAAATTTTTTGCAATGTTATCTGAAGTTTATCACTTAATCTCGTCGAGAACAAGATAAACGTGTTGTATAATTATAAATCATTGAACAAAAGTACACAGATCTAGCTGACAAAAGAGTACTCACTTAACAGGAGCCAGGATGGACATAGTCAGCTCCTCCCTAATTTCCGTCAGGGCTCCCACGTCATCCCACGTCACATCGGGAACAGTTGCGAAACCTTCCCGTTTCGCGCTCGGCTGCACGTGTTTGACCGCCTCCAGGAAGTCATTCAGCGTTATACTGATTTTGTTGAGCTTCTCTTCTGGTATCGGTATCGGATTTCTGAGGAATTGAATCTCTTAGATAATTTAAGTGAATAAAAAACAGAGGACTCTCTGAACGTAGAAAAAAAGAAGAAAAAAGAATCCGTTTTTATTTTATGAATAAAATATATATGCATTATTCATGAAATAAAAAAGAATTCTTTTTTGCTCACTCCAAACTTATAGAAAAATAGCAATTATTCCAAGTTGAGAATAACAATGCACGGCTGTCCCGAAAGATCTACTATAAAGAGTTTCTAAGAAAATTGGTCAATAGTTCGAGTTCGAGGAACGACTCTGTCAGCCATTTGCTTTCTTCGCTGCCCTAAAGATGACACGTAACCTGCTGCTGGTTCTAGTCATCCTTACGAACGTAGGAATTGCCGCGGCGCGCGGTTATTCAGGTTCTAGCGAGGACAATATTTTAGATGAGCATATGGAAAACCTGATGGACTTTTGCTATCAAAAAGGTGAGCCGGCCTGTTGCACCGATCCGACCAGTCAGTTTCCTGTTGATTCACTGGAGCAATGTGAACAGTATTGCTACTTTACCAACCTCTGTAACTTCGCATCATACAACTTTCTGACTAAGGTGTGCTCCCTGCTTGAGGATCCTATCACAGCTCCAGTTAAAAGCAAGTTCACCATCATCGGGAATTTGAGCTGCATCATGGCCGTACAAAGAGCATTGGAAACGAAGCAGCAGTTCGGCGAGTTAATTGACATGGTTACAGAGGAAGAACAAGAATTACTGATACATAGACGGAGTAGTGGACGGAGCACGGAGAAGTGTTTAGGAGCCACATCACAAGATCTCAACTGGGGACCCTGTTCGAATACTTCAATTTGGATTTCAAGATTGAAGGGCACTGACTTGGTTACACTCGAACATGAACCATCTGGAAAATGCATGGAGGTTTCGCAAACTGCTCGGCAGAAGACGACCGTACTCACAGCTTGCTTAAACAGCCGCTCCAAAATCCGATCAACAAACACCACATTCGACTTGCTGACATTAAAAGACGTGATATTTGAGACGATCCAACAGTTTGAAGAACCATGCGAACAAGATATGAAGGTACAAGATGGGGCAGCTGTGACAAGAGAATCAGTACCCTTCTTTCTACCTGGTATGGTTATCACGGTGGCTTGTCATTCTGGATATGGGATTGGGGTCAACAACAACGCAACTACCTATCTGTTCACTTGTCTCAATAGTTTCGTGAAACCGATGCCATGCCATAAGACTTATGTGGAAAACGGTGCTTTTACTGCAGCTACAATCCTAATTCCTACACGAAGTCTGTTTTTCTACTACTCTCTTTGCTTTTTTGAGATGACCTTGTAATTTAAAATCCCAGAAAGGAACGCTTTTAAGTTGCTACTCAAGACACTGAAAACTGTGACATCGATATTTAGATGTTGATTTTTAAAAAGGAACATTTAATCGTTTCTGCTATTGTTGCTGTTCTTTTCACTCTGAAAAACAATAAATCAAAGTTCTTCACTTGGTCAAATCAGTTTTTTTACTGTACGTTTCAGTTTCTTTAGTCAGCTAAAAAATCAAATATTATCATACCAAACTTGGGACTATACTTTATAGGTGCTTTGTAGGTACACATCTTTGTTTTGGGAGCCCTTCATAATAGTGGGCGGTGAAAAGTTAAATCAACGAAGGGGCACAATTGTAAGATTTTATTTGATAAGATAATATTGGAAGGCTGTTAAAAGTAGCTCCAGGTATACTGTAACTTCACTGCTTCCGATACTGTCATTATTTTGTTATAACTCAAAATATTGCAGCGATTCCTTAAATACAAGTAGTAGGCTAAGATCACGCGAATGTAACTGTAGAGGTACAAAATGTGCAGAATGTAAAACCACAATTATCATGAGGTGAATAAGGAGTAAGGACACCCAGCAAGCTCATAACCCTTCAAACAATAGCATTATACGATGTAGAACTTCAGTCCAGCTCGGTCGTTACAAACAATAACAGCTCCGCACGTTATAGCTGTAATTAGTTTTGTGTTGTCCAACATTTCCCATTTTTTACTGTGACGCTTTATTTGACCGACTTGCATATTAATTTATGTCCAATCGTTTGGTTCATGTCCCTCGGAATGTAGTGAAATACTACTACCGGCAATAAAGAGATTCGTGATCACTTTACAAAATTAAAATAAGAAGTTAGAACTTATTGTATAATCACTTACCCTAGTGGTAAAGATCGAAAACCTGAAGCTACGGTGTGTAAAATGGAGGATAATTTGTGTCCAGAAAGTCACGCCTTAATAGTTCAAGAAGTAAGGCGAGAGAGCTCGTGGACATGGCAGGACTGCATACTTCTCGTAATGGGACTGCTCATTAGTTTCGGAGATGGAATTGAACTATACCTGCCCGGTAAAACACGCAGTCACTTTAGATTTAGGCTCATTTTCGAGGTCCTTCCCCACGTACAAGTTCACAGAATTTTCTTGAACAACTGAATTTATCACTGCTACACTCTACAGTAACATAAAAGTGGTATTACGAGAAGCAACAAACTTCATAACTACAGGTGTCCTCACCCAATACGCCTCATGTGAGAGTGGTGCTAGCAAGATACAGGAAGGATGGCTCGGGTGTGTCCTGTACCTATCTTTGGGGCGACAACCCTCGTTGGGGGATTCGTATCTGATCAGTAAGTCAATACATTTATCTGACGAAGGGAATGTTCGAGAAGTCGATGTACTATATCATTGCCACTTTAACCAGATAATCGATTTCACAGGATTTAAAATGAAATTGTAAATATAAGCACGTGTGTTTACTGTTTAGTGTTTATCTAAAGACGAGGGTCCAAATAATTGCATTTCTCTTCTTAACAACATGTTATTAACTTACTTTAATCTATTTTTCTAATCCTATACGATACAGGCTGAAAGGACGACAAGCAACCTTGCTATCTTTATACGGAAGCTCACTAAGCATTATCCTCTGTGCAATATACGGGGACTACTACATCCTCCTCATAACGAGAGTTATCGTTGGGACTTACCTCGGGTTAAATTTGTCAGTTTTTAATGTTCTGATAGCAGAAAGAGCTTCTTCAAAGAAGGTCTTTGAAACAATTTTGTTTGGTTCGAATTTGGTTTTTACGTTTGGGGGAGTCTGGATTCCGACTTTAGGATATTTCTTGTTGGATGTTGTTGGATGGCGATTCTTTGTTTTGATGGCATCTCTACCAGTATTTGTTCTCGCTATTTGTATCCTACATTTCTTTATGGTAGCCCCTCTCAGCTATATTCCAGACTGCGAATCAGAAGTAAAGTTTCAACCTGCGCTCAAGGTGCCTGGCTTTATAACTAGAATATGTAAAATGAGCATATTCAAAGCGGCGTTAACATACCACGGCTGGGGAACAATATTACTTCTCCCATCTTGGATACAGCTATCCAACACAACTGAAGTTGAACAAAGTTGCACACATTGCGAAGCTGTTACTGAAGAGTTTCTTCCATTGGCTTTGGCAAACGGAGCTGCGGTGTTGGGGGGACTTGTTGCAATTAAAATCAGAAAGAGAGTTAACTTCAGATTTGTTTTCACCTTACTAGCTGCTGTAAATGTGGTCAGCTACACGGCCGTACTTCTCATCCAACAAAATTTGATAATCATTGCTTTAACGAGCATCACAGTTATGTTTTCGTATGGGATGACACAAATGGCGGCCAGCTCTATCATGTACGATGAAAGATACTTTGGTAAACGAAATTTAACCCTTGCATGTGGGATAACCACTGGTATTGGAGTGATAGGAGGAGCATCGGGCGCTACAGTCGCTTCTTTAGCAACACCTTGGATCGCAGTGATCAGTGGATTAGCGGTCAGTGTCGTGGAGATAATTGTTACCATGTCTATGTTTGAGCAAGATCACCTGTGAACTCGCTACATTGCTGTATATTTGTTTCTTTGGGGAAGGTGATCATGGAAATGTTTCAATCTCTGTTTTAAATATTGTTTAAATGCCTAACATAGTCAAATGAAAAAATAAAGCTCAAGAGTCAAGAGCAGTGCAACAATAGATCATGTGTTCCAATGGTAGCAGAGAAAATACAAATCTATTATAATGGTTTGAAATAGTGGTTGACGTGGTTTGACGTGGTATTAGGCAGCCAATAAAAATATGCATTAAAACTCACGTATCACTGAGCATGGATCTGAAAGAGTTTTTAGAGGGCTGATTGAAATATTCTGAGTCGCAGCTTGAGGAGGATGTAGTTTTGGGATCCTCGACAGTGGCAAGGAGAGAGGGCAAGGTACGGGACACTGCGTTCAGCGAGGCTTCTCTAACCTGAAAATTATAATACCGGATTAATTTTCACAGTGTAGCTTTTCATATATATATACATTTTTATTGTTTGAACAAAATGGAATTTTTCTCTTTATCTCTATTGTAGCTACTTAGAAATATGCCAAACAACAGTATTAAGGTTTTGTGGGCCAAACATGACTAACCAGGGATACAAGGTCAGCAGCTACGTAGCCAGGAGTATTGTGGGCAATCTGGTGGAAATCAAACTTTCCTTCTAGCTTCAGGGGAACACACAGCTTTGTTAAAATGGCTATCCGCTGTCTGAAAAGTAGTGAGATTTAAATTAACCGCGTCAAAGTAAAATGTATGAAATAATAAGCAGGCAACTTTGTTACATGTATATTCCCGTTCTGTTATATTTTTATTCGATAATACATGATGAACATGAGGTTGCAACGCTACAACAGACGTATATAGTGATAGTGATGGGGAGGTAATACCTCCCCAATTTACGTGTATTTCGAAAGCTAAACCCACTTTCGCTAAAACACCCTACCCACGAGCCGCCTCTGGGAGGTATCAGGTAATGCAAGATTATTTGGTCTTGGTGTTGCCAAGATTTAAATACGTCTGGACTGAGACAATAGCGGTCGAGGCTGCAAGCTTATAAATTGATCGCTATAAGCCAAGTGTATCTCGAATCTTTTGAACGTCGTCTTAACTGTGTTCAATAGAAAACATACCTCTCGTTGGGTATTCCTAAGCAAATCTCTTTATCCAACCGTCCTGCACGTCTCATGGAACCGTCAATAGTGTCAGGTCGACTAGTTGCAGCTGAGGAGTTAAGACATGAAATCAAGGATTTCCACATTGTCACGGCGCGCGCGCGATAAAAACGTGGTTTTGTGATCAACTGAAGATGTTGCGATATAAAAATGTCAACACGCGCTACATAAAACAACTTTTCAACGTGTGACCGCAGAAATTGACATTTTCTTGCGAAGTTAGGAAGTCCCTTGGTTTACGATGATCCAAAATTTGGGTCCCAAATGACTCCTGATGGTAGATCATACTAATCAGGAGATATCCTTGGGGTTCAGTATATGATCTTAATGTTCACTTGGAACTCAGGGGCAATTAACTGAAATTTGGGCAATCATATTTTATTCAATATTCTCATTCGTCTTGAACTCAAAATGAGGATCTCAAGCTGATCGTCTCACCTAGAAGGAGCACGTGACTCCCAGCTCGAGCTCCCAGATCGTCAATACAACTCAGAAGCTGCGTCACTATTCTCTTCTCCATATCCTTTGAAGCTTCCTCTCTTTTACCACAGATAGAATCTATTTCGTCGATAAACAGGATGGAAGGCGCCAATGATCTTGCCTGCAACATTTATATTACAGAGGGTCCAGTACATGGTTCAAAACTTTAAATTTCAAACTTTCATAATATTGTGGTCTGTTAACTTCGCATTTTCTTACTTTTCGACAATTCGACGACTTATGTTAACATTTCCCGAATATCTATCAGATTAAAGTAAAGTAACCTAAAGTATAAGATCAATACTGTTCTACGCTACAAGTTGTCTACTTTAATGGCGGGGCTTCTTGGATACTGCAGAAATAAGATCATAGAGCACTGTGATTACCTGTACAGAGAATTATATAACTTGAAATCAAGGATGTAAAATAATTATATAAGATAAGATTATAAAGCTATTGCAGCTGGAACATTCATCGAACAATTTAGTTAGGTGAGTTGAATACAGTTGAGTATGTAACCTCATATTTTTGTAAACTTGCAAAAACATGATGATAAGTTTAAAAAGGCTATATACTGCAGCTCTAAAACGCTATATACTGCAGTTCTAAAACGCTATATACTGCAGCTCAAAACGCTACATACTGCAGCTCTAAAACGCTATATACTGCAGCTCTAAAACGCTATATACTGCAGCTCTAAAACGCTCTATACTGCAGCTCTAAAACACTATATACTGCAGCTCTAAAAAGGCTATATACTGCAGTTCTAAAACGCTATATACTGCAGCTCTAAAACACTATATACTGCAGCTCTAAAAAGGCTATATACTGCAGCTCTAAAACGCTATATACTGCAGCTCTAAAACGCTCTATACTGCAGTTCTAAAACGCTATATACTGCAGCTCTAAAACACTATATACTGCAGCTCTAAAAAGGCTATATACTGCAGTTCTAAAACGCTATATACTGCAGCTCTAAAAAGGCTATATACTGCAGCTCTAAAAAGGCTATATACTGCAGCTCTAAAACGCTATATACTGCAGTTCTAAAACGCTATATACTGCAGCTCTAAAACGCTATATACTGCAGCTCTAAAAAGGCTATATACTGCAGCTCTAAAACACTATATACTGCAGCTCTAAAAAGGCTATATACTGCAGCTCTAAAACGCTATATACTGCAGTTCTAAAACGCTATATACTGCAGCTCAAAACGCTACATACTGCAGCTCTAAAACGCTATATACTGCAGCTCTAAAACGCTATATACTGCAGCTCTAAAACGCTCTATACTGCAGCTCTAAAACACTATATACTGCAGCTCTAAAAAGGCTATATACTGCAGTTCTAAAACGCTATATACTGCAGCTCTAAAACACTATATACTGCAGCTCTAAAAAGGCTATATACTGCAGCTCTAAAACACTATATACTGCAGCTCTAAAAAGGCTATATACTGCAGCTCTAAAACGCTACATACTGCAGCTCTAAAACACTATATACTGCAGCTCTAAAAAGGCTATATACTGCAGTTTAACCCGTTTATACGACATGAAAGTTCCAATATATAATAATATGATATGCTCAAATGAAGACACTTGATCGTAAGAAAATACAGCAATGACGTCAATGAAATGACGTCAATAACTTGTTTGTTGGTTAAGATAAGGAATAAGTTGTTAATTTAATGTGCACCTGTCTGAACAAGCTCCTGATGTTATGTTCACTCTCCCCACTAAACCCGCTGATCAGCTCAGTTCCAGTAACACTGAAGAAGGGCAGTTTCAGCTCCCCCGCTATTGCACTTGCTAACATTGTTTTACCTGTTGGATGTGCACTTTTATTAAACAAGGTACGGAGTGATGTATCAATTGAGAAGATGCGAATTCACTTCGGTCAAATCTCAAAATTAAAATATAACATCAAAGTTAAAAACCTGGTGTACTCTAACTGAAAAGGATCCCGAAACCAGACCAGGATCTAAAATATGGAAATTAACTATAATGTGTAGAGAAACTAACTAAAATAGGGGAATTTACTACAATGTGAAGAGAAACTAACTAAAATATGGAGATTAACTATAATGTGTAGACTGTAGAGAAACTAACTAAAATAGGGGAATTTACTACAATGTGAAGCTAGAAACTAACCACACCCAGGAGGGCCGTGAAGAAGGAGCCCTTGTGTGGGAGTGACTCCTAGCGTGGAGAATATCTCAGGGTGTAGCAGGTGGACTAGTAATCGTGATATGTCCTGGAGTTTATTAAACTGGTTTAATTGTCGTTACAATCATTTTAATAAGTTATCGGTAATATGACTGTGTGCTAGAAATACAGGGTGGGCCAAAAGTCAGTACCCTACGTTGGCCTTTATAGCTCAGTCACTGAGGGCCCAATAAGACCCAACGTATGCATATGGGTACTGACTTTTGGCCCACCCTGTAGTTGAATTGAAACGTGATTTCCACTTTATTACCAATTAGTGGAAATATTCGGTACTAGACACTAGTCTAAGTCATATAATCTACAAGAAGCAAAAATCTCAGATATTGACAACTAGACTAATGAGAAGAATTATAATATTGGAAACATTATAAATATTGCCATTATGGATAAATCTGCCTGTCTCAAAGTAGCGCGAATTGTGCGAAATATTTGATTATCACAAACCTCAGTAACTTCCTCGACGCCAGCCATATCATGGAACGTTATACTCGTCTGCACTAAATTTCTGTACTCTGAAAAGTATTCAATTCATTATTGTGGCCACCTATGATAGTTTTAAACTATTTAAATTGAACTATTTTTTCCGTTCACACCCTTTTGTAAAAAGGCAATAGTGAAAGGTTACGAATGGAGGTTTTTGCAGAAAAACGTGGATTTTGGAGATTGCGGTAGGTAGGTCTGAGTATTATGTCGTGTTCCTTCCTTCCTTTAGTTACCATGCAACGAAAAAGCCGCGCGCATGCGCGAGGATTGCTTGCGGAGATGTGATGTAAAGATAGCCTTTGGTCAATGAATGCGCGGAGTGTATTTTAATGTATACTATGTTATGTATAATATTAGGTTATAAGTCCAATTTGTACGTGGCACGCGTAGTGTATTGATGTGTACACGAGTACAGTTTACTTTTGCTTACAGTTTCTTGAATTACAGATACAAGTTAAGTTCTACGGCAATTGAATTGAATTTCAAGTGTTTCCCGTATTTATAATGCATAATTTATCAATATTATTATTATGAGGTGAGCTGATTGGAGCTTATACTTAAAGTTATAGTGAATGGAAATCTAGCGTCCGCCAAAACGAAACAACGGGCGCAATTCTTGTTACAACTGCAATTAAATACATTTATCAAGGAAGCGATTTAAGAAAGCCAAGATATTTAATGTTTCCATCGCAGCCCGCTACTGCCTCTTAACATTAGGGAACGAAAAACCACTAGTATAGCTATTTATGTCTTCACAGTCTACTTTTCTAAGTTCTATGAATCCAAATAGCTGATAAACACGCCAACAGTGTTATACCGTATTCGGTATATTATATTAATATGAGAACGTTTACCATATCCCTCTGACTGCTTCCCCTTACCCAGCAAAATCTATAAATAGCTCAAAAACGAAAAAATTATAAAAAACAACAGGATAGATAATTTCGAATGATTACGAATAACCCACGGTTAATCTAACGGGGGTATCAAGATAATGTCACATATAATGTCACATAATGACATTATATATAATGTCATATAATGTCACATAATGACATAATGTCACAGCTGTGGCTAAACTCAAGTGAACTGAATTATTCCTGCAAAGTAAGTGGTTGCATATATTTTACCGCCTGACGTGCTCCTGTACAGTTACACGATTATGAGTTAGCGTGGGTGTTGTCAACCACGATTATTATGAAACATATTTAACATATTATTTCTGTAGAAATAGTGGTTAAACGCCGCGCATCCTAGCACCCACCTTCAGTAAGAGTAGTTAACAAGTGATATTCTAAAGTTAAGCTTAATCCCATTCTACGACCGTGTAAAAAACACATGAATTGAACGCCAAAAGAGAGGGTGCTGTGAAAAACAAACCCAGCGCCGGTACGCCAAAAACTCACAAGAGGTCACAAAATGTATCAATCGAGCTGATAAATGAGCTAAGGGAGTATTTAAACTATTTAATATAGTCTTTGTACAAATTGTTACCCTTATAGAGCAAGACGACACAATTTCTCGCCATTTCTTATGATGACGACAGAACCTGTATGTAATCAATAAAGCTGCAATAAATGTAGTGGTAAATCAGTGGCGGAAACTATTAACTAAGAGTCGAGGGTTCTCTGTGAATTAAAACATTACCTTATATGGTTATTTCCTGGAGTTGAGCAATAAAATGCTCTTTTCAAAATTTTAGGGATTTTAAGATTAAAGTTTGATAGGAGCACCTTCAAATCACACAACCGATTTAATTAAATATTTTAATTAATCTAATTTTGACTTTAATTTAATGAAATATCATGGTTGTTTCATAATATTTTAGGTATGAAGGATATTTTAAAACGGAGCATTTTAAACGGTTGATTTGACATTGTTATATTAGCTACGTAAGTGGTTTTTATAATACAGCATGAAATATTTATAATATTTATTTACAACATACCTCTATCAGCATTGTAGGAAGATCCCCGAATGTCAGTCATGCGAGAAGATCTGCGCCGAGTGCTGCTGGACGCGCGCCGGCTCGCAGCACCGTCCTCTTCGTCATTGCTTACACCTTCCGTGTTGGGCCGCATTTTCTCTGAAAAGTAACGGATCATTGAAATAGCTATTATATGTATTTCCGGTTTCCCATATGGCAATAAGTCACACACTCGTCTGCAATCCAAATACTAACGAATATAATTGAATATTACGGTGCCCCTACTAAATATTATTGTATTACCTGTTTAAATTCTTATAACAAATCCTTGTAATGCCGGCCAAATATTTGTATAATCTTCCGTGGATAAAAAATTGGGCTCAAATTATTTCGAAACATTATCACGTGACTTGTGTATTTTAAGTTTTGCAGCCGAACGGTCGTACCTTACCCTGAATAGAATTTATGTTTTACTAGCATGTCATGTCATCACGTGACCAAAATATGTCTTATAACCTCTCGGGGAAGCGCTTTTAAAATAAAATAAAATGACTGTTCCAACTAAGGTCGAGAATCTGATTTTAAAGAATGTTAATCACATTGAAGGTGAGATTACTTCAGGAATTAATGGATTGTTTGTTTTTCTGGTTGCTCACAGAATTTTCATATCCGGTCATGAACAATTTAATATATATATTTCTGCAACTTAATTTAATTCCGTTTCCTGATCTTCGTGCTACTTTAATATCAGCTTTACGCTATATTTTCGTTGTGTAATTTAAGGTCTACTCTGCACGAATATGATGTATAATATAGAAAACATCATGGCGAAATTTTCTTGGGTAAATTTTGTCATTTATTATGAGATTAAATATTTCGCTCGCCCAAAAATTATCACATGACTTGGGTTTTTACGGTTTTGCAGCCAAACGAAACGGTTTTACCTCGACTCTAACCACAACCCTATTCATAACCTTTAAAAATATAATGTATGTTTTACTGGCATGTCACGTGACCAAACAGTTTTTGCCTTTTTTAACCAGATTTGTGAGCGAACAAATTGTGATATTTGGAAGATTGTTGGTAAATATGAAATAATCCAAGTAATAATTCAAAGATATCTGCATAAATTTCTTTTAAAAATCTCTGGAAAAATAATGAGTGACTTCCTTCAGTTCTGTAACTATGCTTATTAATAGACAGTTTTTGGGAGTTCCAAATTATTTCTGATTATTCTGATTTCTTGCGACAATTGATACTGCACTGTTAGGATAAAGTTATCCACTGTAAAATACAGTGGATAACTATTTTACAGTTATATATTTTGTTTAAAATAAATTTCGTCGTCAAAATTTTAATATACATATTGATCGTTATAATTAAATTAATACTATTTCAGAATATGAGTATGACGTAGAAATTTCGATACTTTATTCAGCTATTTATTTCCATTAGAATCTGTCTTCACTGAGTCTATTCAGAAACAATCAAAAATTTGAATAAAAGAACTATCAACTCATGAGACTCAATAACACTACACGAATCCACCAGATAACTATGTAACTATTCTGTATTTTAAGTACACTTTTTGCGTTTCGTTACATCGTATTTCGTTATATTCTTCTTATTCGTAGGGGGCTGTGGAGCTGTGGTCATTATCACTATAGGGTAGATCATGACTACTGTAAGATAGAGCATTGGAGCCCTGTGCTTACCCTGGTAAAATATTTATTAATGGAGACAAAATTTAAACTTTGTTTTCTCCGCATTTAGTGAATCGTTTTGTTGCTTGTATGAAGCCGATGATCCTTGGTAGTGAGAACTTGTCCACTATGTCTGTCACACTAAGGTAGAAGGAGTCAAAGTATCCTCCTCGTTGGAAAGACCACTTCGGGCACTGACCAACAAAGTGGTTCATTGTCTCCTCTTCCATGAGACAGTGTGGACAAGTTTTAGGGACCGTTGTCGGCTTGAACTTATTAATATGGTAGTTTAGTTCACAATGTCCAGTAAGGAATTGTGTTGTTGTTCTTGCCCTCTTTGCCAAGTTTTGGGATAGATCTGGCGAACTTGTGTCTCAATACTCGTGTAAAAAATAAGGCTCTTAGTGTATAACTGTATAATATATATAAGGCTCTTAGTAATTAATAAGGCTCTTAGTGTAAAACTGTATAATATAGTTTGATTCATTTTATCTGCAGTTCCGTGAACATATTAAATATCCTTCAGACTTCAATAAATGAAAGATTTCACATACTACTTACTAACCTTAGGGTGTGTACAATCATGGGTATCGCTGAAAACTGGTTGGCTTTCGTCAACATGTCAAAAGCCAAGGCAGACTCGCACGCAAAAGCGGCACAATACTGGGATACCACCCACAATATCTGCAGTATAACCATGATCGTGTTCTCTACACTAACCACCCTCGCAACCCTTCTAGAACTCCCCAGCCCCTACATAGCAACTGTGCTGGGAGCCGTCACCACTCTGGTATCTGCTATTTCTGGGACTTTGGCACCCAGTAGCCGCAGACAGCTAAGGGTTTCAGAGCGCTGATGTTAAAGATGATAAGGGTTGAAACAGAGAGGGACTATGAGGAAATATGGAGAGAATACAACAAGGAATTATTCGTAGAACCCTTCGTGCCCTTTAGTTTTATCGTTAAATTGGATACCAAATTCACCAAGACACCCGAGTTTACAATGGTGGTGAAGCAGAAAGAAAGTGAGGTGATGGAAGTTGCTGAGGAGTTGGGGTTACCGGTCCCTGAGAACGATTATGGTGATATGAAACTCGACACTACCCTGGTGGTACCCAATCCGAAATGGTTATCGAAGAAGGAGCCGATGGAAAGGCAAGGGACTAGGTTTAGTATGGACTAACTTTAATGCCACTTTATTAACCTTTAGTTTGTAATTTTATCTATTAGGTGATATTATGTACGTCAATCTAAGGTTTTTATTATTATCTTAAGCATGATTGGGCTTATTGGTTTTCGTTATATATACCTTAGAGTGGTTCATTTTACCAAAAGTTGTTCAAATAATTAGACATCATATCTTATTAGTTGCTCTATAGGGTCAGGAACGACCAAAAAAATTTTTTTGACTCTAGTGTTCCGGATATGGTCCGCACATGCCACGCCCATTTTTATAGCGTTTCTTATACAGGTAAAATAGGGAAAATCGCATTTTTTAACATGAAAGCGTCATTTCTGTGCTTTGAGACTTTCTACTCTAATATAAATGTGATGATGGCATTTCGTTTAAACATATTTTCAAAACTCTGTGACCACGCCCTGGCCGTGGACCACGCCCCTATTTCTTATACACATAAAAACACGAAAATCGCAGATTTTTAAATGATTGGATTGATTTAGAGCTTTGAGACTTTCTACTCGAATATAAATGTGACCCAAGCATTTCGTTTGAACATGGTTTAAAATTTGATAACTCTATAGATCGTCATTGATAGGATCAGTATTAATGAGATCGAATGATTACTTCATAGCTCGTCACTAACTGGATCAGCATAACATGACTAAAGACTAACGAGGTCCAGAAATGTGAGCCAAAAGATACCGTTGACACCATGGACACCATGGTCCATGGTCAATGAATGTTGAACAAGATCTGGCCCTTGACATCCTTGTAGCGTCCACGAGTCACATAACAAACCCTGGTAAGTGCTGACACCGGCAATAACGTTTAAAAGAACTAAAAACGATGAGTAATTATCAGTCAACCAACAATGTCAACCTCCAAAGGAAAGCGAAGAAAGCCTAGAAGAGAGATTCCATTGATAGGAAAGCTCCTCGACAGAATCCCTGACTCCAAGCTACCCACTAACCAAGTTGTTCTACAGAGACTCTTCTTTATTCTTGAGCACAATTTCGGTAATGCTGCGGGAGAGTTAGCTAGAGTTACTGTGAAGAACGATGTCGTGTCCGTTTGGGAGTATGCTGGTTTTGGAGACGTCCTCAAGACACAGGGCAACATCATGAAGAGGATGATCGAGCCTCTCCACCAGAAGTGGAAATCCCTTTTAAAAACCCCGATTTCACGACAATCTAGTGCCCCCTTCCTGAAGAAGAGAGCAGAGTTCGTCGAATCCCTCCCTAAGCTTTTTGACATCTCAAATAGATCCCTCATCTTCACCTCTAGAGTCCATAAAGATGACAGACAGTTTCTACTCCATCACTGGGATGCGCAGATTTCTTCAACTCGGGACTTCAAAACCAAGGCTTAAAACCAAGGTTTAAAATTTACAGCTATTAGGTATATTATATAGTTTAAAATTTACAGCTATTAGGTATATTATACCTAATAGCTGTCAATTTTAAACTAGCGTGTTTTAATATGTCATGAAAAGTTATAAAGCCAGCAAGATCTTTTGGGCTGGAATTGTTTGTGAGTTTAATTAAAATTGATAAAATTCGTGTTCTCAAAAAGTTTCATATTCCTGATATAAGATTAGAAAAGCTTTTTTTCCGTCAGGGATATTTTCACTGCTTTTATTACATTAAAACTTGTATTAATTAAATTGTAAAAATTACTCGAGAAAATTATAAATTCTTGTGAGCGTTGGGTGACGTTGAAAAAAAAATACAAATCATCAGTATTTTTCTTTAGCCGCGGTCGCCCCAAGGTAATTAAGTGATAAGTCTTATGATTGAAAGTTGTCATGAGAGCACGAAAAAGATTTACTTCGAGGCGACCCGCAACTTCTTATTTCTCATATAATTTGCTTAATTGTATCTGCAGTTCAATAAAATATGCCTTTTAATCCTTCACATTTCACTTTAATAAATGGATATTTTCTTAAATTAGTTAACCCTAGGGTGTGAACAATCATGGGTATCAACGAAAACTGGTTGGCATTCGTCCAAATGTCAAAAGCCAGGGCAGACTCTCACCGAAACGTGGCACAATTTTGGGATACCATGGACAACATCCTCAGCATATCTAAGATTATATTCGCTACTGCAACAACAACTACAACCATGTTTGATGGCAGCAAATATCTACCAGCCAGCCTGGGAGCGATAACGGCTCTAATATCGGCTATTGCTGGTTACTTGGCACCCCACGATCGAAGGGTGAAGAATATGGAGTCAGGTAAAAGTTTCAAGGAGCTCATGTTGAGGATGATCAGGGTTGAAACAGAAATGGAATATGAGGAATTGTGGCGGGAATATAATAAGGCATCGCTGGATGAACCTTTCGTGCCAGTCAAATTTGTAGTACAAGAAAACGCGACATTTACCCAGTCACCCGAGTTTGTTATGCTTGCAAAGCATAAAGAAGCAGAGGTCAAGGAGTGGGTCAAGGAGGGAGATGCCGCCCCATCGATAGCAATTCCGGAGGGTGATGAGGAGGATCCTGATGAGGCGGTAAAGCCTGACACTGCCCTGGTGATAGCCAATCCGGAAGCTGAGGATGAAGCGAAAAGTGAAACAAGTAAAGTTGCTGCGGCAAGTTTAAAGTCGAATGATAGAAGCTAAATGGGCTGTATTTTAATCCGTAGGATGATGTAGGATGTAGGATGATATTAATGCTTTTCAAACAAAGTTACAACGAATTCTTCATGACCATGTAGTGCAACCTGGGTTTGGACAGGATATGCCCGCTTAAAATATTTACATCACGTTACATTACATAATTCTCAATAATTGTAATAGATTTGTAGTGTTGTAATTAGTTTAAAATATGTTATCAAGTAAGGTAACAATTAACTACGTTTGGTACATATTTTGAAAGATAATCAAGAAATTAATGTGTTTGGGAAAGTTAAAAAACGAAATGGTTGAAGAAAATTCTCGATTTTATCACATTATTTTTGTTAACATATTAAATTCTATATTCGCATTCAACTTTATGGAGGGCGCGAAATAATGTGACAAACGGATTTTTATTTTTAAATCAGGACTAATAGTTCGTAGGACGGGCACACAGCTAGTTTACTTAAATCAAATACAATGTGAGTGCCGCCCATCACCCATTTCAATGTCCAGATGGCTATCACAGTTCTCGTGAAGAAACTACCAATAATTTCAAACATTCTAAGTTTATTCAATAAATAAAGCGATCAATATTTGGGTAATAGCAATCGGTGCTGTACCCAACTCATGAGTTAATATTACTAAACATGTCTCGACTATCTTGAAGCCTTTAATGGGCCATGATAGTTGCAGTTTGTAAGAACTGAATTATAGCAAGGTACAATTTAAGAGTTATTGGTATTATAATAATTGGTATGTAATAACAATTGATACATTTATTTGAAGTAGGTGTGATTAAACAACTAACGTTTAAAGATGGTAACAGCTGGAGGTTCAGAAGATTCAGTTTTATTTTCCTTCTGTTTGTTATCTCTGGAATCTGAAAGATTTTCTAAGTTTCTACACCAATTACGAAGTTTCATCATAAGTTCAAAGTCTAACTGATCGATATAATATGATAACATATCATTACTTTTCTAATTTTAACCAGTACAGAGGTGTTAATGATAAAATATGACAACATAAAATTATTAAACGTACAAACTAACATTTCAGCAGCTTAGAAGGAAAGCACAAAACATGAGCTCGAACTGGTTCACTTAAAGGGAGGGCCCCGAAACAGCGTTTGTTACAGCAACTAGGTAAATTAAAACCCAACAATTAAACCATACAAGGGCCCTGACAAGAACGGAAGAAAGACTTCACTTTGACAGATTATGGGATTAAAAAGTTGAAAGTTTGACGGATTCGGAGAATATTACCATAAAAGCAAGCGACAGGGACGTGCCTGACTGTGTGACAGGGGGAGATGACTTCTCGACCAATTTTAAAAGCTTTGAAACTGTAGCAGCGCAGCTTTTTATATAACTACGAAAACTGTCATATCGGATAAGGGATTGCAACATGATTGGATTTAAGGGCTTGTAACATGATTGGATTTAAGGGCTTGCAACATGATTGATAATTAGCTTTTACATATTTCAAAGTTTCAGCACAGTTCAGGCGGTGATATAAACTTGAGCTGCCCTCTTTCACGATTATTGCGATTGCTTTTTATGAACGAGATAAAACCTTTGAAGACATCAAGGTTGCTGTAGCGCCGACTACGACGTTTGTGTTCTGCGTACAGCTCCCAAAATTCTGTTAAAATACATTTTACAGCAAACCGAAATCGATTTTGCTGTTCTTTCATCAGGGAAACTTTGGTCACTCAAAACGTTTAGTCAAGTAATATTAATAAGTAACTTTGAATTCTGCTTTAAAAAATTATTTAGCGAAAATGAGCTCTAATAAAAGAATTTCCTATAAACCTTTTTGGATGTACCCCTAATCACTGAACTACTAAATTATTTTACCACATGTTTTGAATTTTTATTATAGTGACCGGAGGGGGTAGACTACACTTTTTTACACTACACTTTTGTAGAGGAGTATTCCCCTATTATTGCTCCTGGGTTAATTCCCACAGTCAAAAATTGAGCACAAAAAATCCGCATTCCACTTCTGAAAACAAACAAGCGACTGTCGAGTAATCACATATTGTCATTTGGCCGCTGATTTTCTTTAAAAGGGTTTTTATACATACAGACTAGTCAAGAAATAACCCCAAGCTATGCCATACCTGAGTCGTATTTTCTAGAGTAATGAGGGGCGGACTCCCGTCTCCGATTTCCCCCACCATTTTTCTTTCGGTTTCCAGACTGAGCTATATCTTCAACAGCAACAACGGTCTTCTTCTGCATCTCTAGGTTTAAAGAGAAGGTAAAAGGAATACCCCATACCTTTATCTCCAACAATGGGAAAGTACAGACCCGCAAAGTATGACATTATGAAATATCGATGGAGTCCAATGGAAGGGGGTATGTTGATGTGGCATGGTTTGCCGTAAAATCAATCTCATAATTTTGACTTGATGTATTTTGACGTCAAAAGTTATGCACGTGATCCATCCAACAATAATGAACTAATCATGGGCCAAACTCCTTATAAAAAGGACGGTCACAAACTAAAACAGCGAAAATAGGAACAGTTGCCAGAAGAAAAGTGGAAAAGTGGACGTTTATTTCCATTCAATATGTGACAGAATGATACCAGACATTTTACCAGATGTCAAATCCGGCGGTACAGTAAATATGGAGGAAAATCTTTGTACTCCTAATGAATGACAGCTCGAGAAGAATCGCTCAGGTCGCCTGTCATCCCAGAAAATTGGTTACATGCTTCAATTCCCCCACCGCTTCGTAGCATGGTATGTATTATATATTATATTATACGGCCACAAATCGAAAGCAACATTTAATAAAGCGTTTTGTTTGAATGTCAAATTGTTGGGGAGCTAACTAACTTGTCTTTTTACTGGCTTTTCTGTCGGCATCTCCACTGTCAGCCTCAGACTTGGTTTCAACTTTGTTGCTTAAATTCTCCTTTATCACCTGACGAAATACGGAGATCAGCGATATCAACGCTTTTGGGAGCTAAAAATAAAACAAAAAATAGTGATCTAACTACAATCAATAATCGATTATCGAGTAAAATATAGAGTTTACTTTTAGAAAACGCAGTCATCACTACCATGATAATTTCGCACTTTCATAAAGAAAGCTAGATACCTCGAATATTTCCGATGACTTTGTGGCAACGATTTCGTCTTCTTCAGCAATTTCATCGTTAATAACTCCATCACTACTTATCTCTTTGCGCTGGCAAAATGAAACTTAGTGTAATTAGTGTGTAATTAGTGTAATTAGTGTGTAATTAGAGTTGCAGTTGATAACTCCGTCACTACTTATTTCTTTGCGCTGGCAAAATGAAACTTAGTGTAATTAGTGTGTAATTAGAGTTGCAGTTAATAACTCCATCACTACTTATCTCTTTGCGCTGGCAAAATGAAACTTATCACTAATTTGGACAGTAAAAGGCAAACAATCATCAGATCTCCTAACATAAACAATATAATATAATAATGTTTAATAAACTTACCAGGTTCATGTACTCCTCCATTGATTTGTGCTGGAGATTGTTAACGTGCAGCTCCAGACACGCCTGCTCGCTTGCTATCGAGTGGTTGCGTTGTCCGGGCTGCCTGTCTATAAACCAACCTAGTGTAATTAGTGTGTAATTAGTGTAATTAGTGTGTAATTAGAGTTGCAGTAATTATAGTTGCAGTAATGATATTTGCAGAACTGCAGGGTTTCTGTCACACGGTTTAGACTTTTCAGTTATCATGGATTGATTTAATAGATATAATATGATTAGACTGGTTTTTCTTTTGCAGAACATAGTACGCTAATTATTCTTTATGAATAATTAGCGTAGTATGTTAAAAAATATGGTTAGGATGAAAATGCAATTAAGCTCCGCTAAAAATCGAGTATGACGAAAGTGAGCCACGTAAAGATATGACTACCTTTTCTCGAGTCCCTTTTAGGGGAATTTGGCGCAGAGCCACCTTGGTTATCTCTCCGCTCGATAAGAGGGGAGCAGGGCTGGGACTGGGACTGTTGTTGGTAGACATTCCTCATAGTGTTATTCAGGCTGTTCACATTCTGTGCAACCATCAATGGCATTGCGTTGACATCTGAAACGTCGGAGCAAACTGTAAAGGACTTCCACATCGCCAACGCAAATCAAATAAAACTCAATAGAGAGCAAGCTGAACTAAACAGTACGGCGAGGTATATATAGTTCCTCTATGTAAAAGCTTAAAAGGTAATTCATACGGTTGGAGACGATTATGACATATATGGAGAGTGGGTGAGGACCTAAGAGCGAGTGGTCCCGTGTTTACCCCTCCTTTACCCCTCCTTGCCCCTCCTCTTGTCATATTTTGCGTTTAGTTTTAAAGTTAGACGGTCAAGATATTAATTATTAATGTCAAGTTTAACTTGGGAGCAGTGAAAAAGCAGCTGCAAAGTGGTAGACCGTGAATGCTGGAAGAGGTTGCACTCATATTTAGGAAATTTGACAGATTGAGGAAGCGTCGAGCGACAGGCATGCAGAAAAGTTATTAGGTTTATAAAATCAATCGATTTATAGTTACTAGTTCCCCCTTTACGAAATGCATTCGATTTAAACATTCGATTAAAATCAGACCGCAAGCGATCACCGTTTTATAAAACGACCAGATGTCTGTTTTATATAATGTCTGGCATTAAATTACATTTGACATTTTGAGAAGTTATGAATTAATGGATACAAGACGGTAATTCTAAATATTGCAGGTTTTAAAGTATTAGCATTTAATTCTGCGACTATCTCCTATTTAGAACATTCATTAAGTATTTACTGTTTATCCAATGTCCATATCATGCAAATAAATATAATACTAAGTTTAATAATGAGAACTAAAACATGATATTAAGCAATAAGCATCAACATAATTCGATTTAGGTTGTCAGTTGATTAATTCATATCAAAACTGCCAACTTAACAGTTATAACTGTTGAGAGCTCAGTTTTTAAAGGGGTATTGCATCAAATCATTTATCGCCGTGGGCGTGGGTTGGAAGTTGAAGTTGTGATCACTTGACTGTTTTTGATAATAGCTTCAAACCAGTTATACGACGTATAATATACGTTTTCAGTTGAGTATCTTCAATGATTCCGATATTTTTGGGAGCTTGAGATTCATTTAATTAACGTAAGCGTTATTAATCAAACCTTCATATTCACTCTCGTTGGAAGAAGTGAGACTGACTACGTCGTTCACATCAACACTTTTCTTTCTTGATTTCTTACTCTGTGGCCCATGTCGTTCAACCAAAATATCCTGAAAACCAGATAATCGTAAGAAAGCTCAGATACTGCTGAGCAACCAGCAAATTGGATAGGGTAAATTAGAGAGTAGAAATTCTGAGCATGCAACTCAAAAAACTAAGAGATGGAGAGGGAGAGGGAGAGGGAGGAAGAGGGATGGAGAGAGTGAGAGAGGGAGAGGGAGAGAGAGAGAGGGAGAGGGAAATGATATGGAGTGAGGGAGAGGGAGAGGGAGAGGGAGAGAGAGGGAGAGGGAGAGGGAGAGGGAGAGGGAGAGGGAGAGGGAGAGGGAGAGGGAGAGGGAGAGGGAGAGGGAGAGGGAGAGGGAGAGGGAGAGGGAGAGGGAGAGGGAGAGGGAGAGGGAGAGGGAGAGGGAGAGGGAGAGGGAGAGGGAGAGGGAGAGGGAGAGGGAGAGGGAGAGGGAGAGGGAGCTAAAGGTATATTTTGAACTATATGCCCCAAAATACTTTTCGAATTAAGATCAAAGCTTAGTTTACCTGGAGATACTTTTGGACAGAATCCTGCAGGGCTTTCTTCTTTTTGCGTTGATATTCGGGAAATTTAAACTGCAAATACGCCAAGACATCATCAGTTGTGATATACTTCTGCTTTGGCTGAGTATCTACATACTGAAATATAAAGTACCAATCGTATATTATCTCATAATCACCAAACAATCTAGATAGTTGAAAAAACATCAATGAAAAAGGAGTCATGCAATTTCTTAAAAAACTTAATTATATGAGTGGTCAGACCAATCATTGCAAATGTTGCGCAGCATAAAATATAATGCTATTAGTCAATAATTGGGTGAGCAAGAGATAGACATTTATCATATTATAGTGATTCTGTCACCCATACTTTCCAATATTTAGTCTCCACCTACTTTATAGTTTAAATAAACCTCAAGAGGAATATTTCCTACCTCATTGATTCTCTGCAATAACCTCTTGTCAAGAATGTGACCTTTTGAACCTCCTCTCTGCATGGCTAAATTATAAAATGTAATTGTGATAGATAGAATAGGTAAACACTAGCTTAATTGCAGAAAAAACATCACTAAAACTGAAAAACGTCAATAAGAAAAACTCTTTTGGTTGGATGGTTGTGTAATATGCTCTACCTTCATATTTCTGTAAGGGGTTTAAATCAGATTTTAAGGCTAACGTCTAATGCAGTCTATCTGGTTCAAGCATTGGGCTGAGCCATGTTTAGAAAAATGCCCCCTGAGGCAGATTGAGGCGGCTTGTGGGAGCTGGCTGGCAGTTGTGTCACGTGTTCTATCGAAGGACTCAGGGGGCTTGGGGGCGGCCGCCCTCCCCAACTGCCGATGGCTATTCGCTGATGACTGCGTACAATACCACAGCAGAAAGTTAATTAATTAATTAGTAAATCCTACGCACCAACACCTCCTTAACCTGATTATTATAAGTTCAGCCTCGATATTCTCCAATTCGCTTATAAACTGAGATGGGCTTGGTATTGCATTGGTTATGCAACCCCCAAAAAACAAAGGAGCTGAGCCAACAACAAGCAGCGATTTTACAAATGGAGAAAACGTTGATGAGCTCAGGAGACACCAAATCAATCAAAAGGTAGTCAACAACCACTGCCTAGAACTATAATACATCGAAAGGATCACAAAAGATTTACTCCAAACCAATGGCGGCACAACTTCAAAACTTCCAGACAACCTCCCTTCAAGAATCAATCCCTTCAAGAATCAAGAAAAACTCTCGAAGACATGGAGAAATGGAAGGACATTGTTATCAGACCAGCAGATAAAGGATCAAAATACTTCTTTCTAGATAAGCAGGAATATGTTAATCGAGTGAGAAAACACAAAGACGATTCTGAAATATTCGAAGTCATCCCTAAAGAAGAAGCACAAGAAAAAACAAGGACTGCTATTAGGAACTGGTTGGAGAATACCAACTTGATGGATGGATAACACCAGATGAACACAGTAAACCTGGCAACAACTATGTCAACCCTAAAGATATGATAAGCACTGGATGAGCATCAGCAATTAAGAACTTGTCAGCCCTTACATCATATGAGCTCACGAAGGTATTGCTATCCAGGACTTGAATCATATCTTACGGAAAATTGATGATCTCAACACATCAGATGTGTTAGTCTGATCAGTGATCACACCTTTATTTCCTTTTCTGTGATAGACTTCATTCTAACCAGATTTACCTTTTCTAGCAATGGCAAGTCACCAGTGGCAACCGGTTGGAGCAGGCAGTTGCGTAACATCGTTTGTAGCAGACTACCTTACAATCGGTAAGTATTTATATTATTAATCAACTATATACAGCAAACACAAGATAATATAAATTTAATCATAAAATCGAGTGGCCGAGTAGTCTCGACTCACCCATAACTTCTCCAAAGGCGTCTATCATGAGCTTTGTACACTAAATCATTAAAATTACTTAAACTAAATCTTTTATTTACAATCACAATAATTTGTTTTGTCATAATGTCTTTTAATAATAAATCAAATAAATTTGAACGAGGTCTGCCCCTCCTTCCTTTGTAGTCAAAACATCCTAAACATGCAAATCTGAAAGATAAGAAGGCGGGAGTGTCATCACCGCTTCTGAGAACGTGCCCAAGCATCTTCCATCTTGCTTTCTTGATCCTTTCAGTAAGGGGTCTGACATTACATCTCTTATATAAATTCTCGTTGCTGATAACCGTAGGCCAATAGGTGTTGATTATCTGTCTCAGATGCTTCCTTTGAAGAACGTCGACAGATGCCATTACGGTTTCAGGAGCAGCCCAGCTGCTACAGTTATACAACAACACTGAAGTGACAAGAGCTTCGTACAGCTTCAGCTTTCTACTCTCACTGATCTGAACAGAGCTATTCAACCAGACTTTCTTGTAGGTGTAGAAGGCAACATTGGCTTTGTTGCGTCTGTTGACAATATCTCTTTCTGAACAGAGCTTTGATCCTAATAGCACTGACTCTCGCCACTCTTCATCTCCTCTAATTTTATTGCCATGGGCATCTAAAGCATCTGTATCTGCCAAATACACTCTTGTAAACACCGTCTTTGATTCGTTAACAAAGAGACTCCAATCCTTTAGTATATCACTGGCAATCTCTAGTATCTTCACCAGGCTCTGACCATCTTCACTCAGAAGCTCAGCATCGTCAGCATAGGCGGACTCTAACGGGAGGCCTCTATCAGAGACTGGGGGGTTCGGTCTAGGAATCGTGACACTGATCACGGCTCTGATGTGATTCAGGGCACCGGCAAGGGTCAATGTAAACACTTTACCTGCCAGACTGTCTCCCTGGTAAGCGCCAATATTAATCACAAATTCACCAGACTCAGATCTGTTGACCGTCACCTTGAGCTTTGTATTTGAGAGGAGGTACTGAACTAGGCGAATGTCGTCTCTAGAGCATCCTGCATCAATGAGGAGGTTGATGATGGTCTGTCTGCGGATAGTATTAAACGCAGCGGTCATGTCAATGTTGATTTTACTATACTCAAACTCGCGCCTGGTAACCACTGATGTCAACATTCTCTGAGACCATACCAGGTCAGCACAACTGCGACCCTGCTTGTATGCCGCCTGCCAAGGTCCAGTGTACATATCAACGTGGTAATTGATTCTGTTCAAGGCTACGAGGGATAGGACTTTTCTAGTTCCATTTAGCAATGTGAGGGGCCGGATAGACTTTATCGGACCTCGGGGTTTTCCTGGCTTCTGAAGGGGTGTCAGGATATTTATAGTTGTTATTTATTAGGTGGTTTATATGTAATTGGGTTAATATGGAATTAAGTTATTATTATTGTGTAGTAAAGTATTTTGTTTTACAGGTTTCGTACATACAACTAAACCGGAGTTTCACTTGGCTAGAATATTTCTAACAAAATGCGCTCATTTGCAGTTAAGTTAAAAACTTCTCTTTTCTTGATAGTTTCACCCCCGTCCATGTCCAGGGCGAGATGCGCAATCTCTACTGTCTTTTAAGTATCATTTACAGCTGAGCATAAGGGTTAAATTTAAATTATTTAACCTTTTGGTGCTGTATAAAAACAACATTAATTTATTATTTTTTTTTTTTAACGGCCAGGTAGCGCAGTTGGTTAGAACGCCAGCTTTGCAATCGTGAGGTTGTGGGTTCAAATCCCACTGTCTGCCTGGTCGTGGGGTGAGCGTCGTTGACGTTCAGCTAAGGATCCTGAGTGGTCTATGCAGCCCCCCCCCCCCCCCCCCCCGGTCTACTCAGCCGAATACTCGAGAAATCGGGTGTGAGGGTTAAATGAGGAGCTGCACATTGCAGCAAAGTCTCGGGCGAAGAAAGTATGGTACACACTACCTTAACCGTCACTGGCTAAAAATAAATCCTTCGGCTTCCTGTAATTGGCTGGTTGCACTTGTGTAACAATGTGGTTGACGGATGTTACGGGTATCGGCCTTACAAAATGACACGAAAAAGGAGATGGCTCTGAAATGCACAAAAATGAGTTTTGTTCATGTTTTATTATCCAGATAGGTAGTTCAACAGGTATATTTTTCTTCCCGGGGGTTGATTTGATTGAAAAACCGTAAATTTTGCGATAAAAATTGTCATCTTTGAAATCTTCCAAAAAAACATGCCTTACAAAATGACAATTTCGTCACGGCTGTCATTTTTTAACAGCAGCCTATAGCAATTTGATTTCACCTAGGACAGTTAGATAAATATAATAGATTGAAGATTAGAATAGATTTTACAGCAAAAAGGATGATTAAAAAAACTTGGGCAATTTCACGTGAGATAGTGCCTTACAAAATGACAACCCAAAACGGCATCACTTCAAATCCGATTTGGGAAAAAGTTTCATTATTCTTTCACGTGTCTTACTGTTAGATATATATGTTGTTTATATTATACCAGTTCTGTTTTTACCAGAATATATTAAAAAAGGAACATTTTTTATCATTTTTTGTTTTCATACTTGAACACAGTATTTGGTTATATTTGATATTTTCTATGACTGGATAGATCACTTTTAAGTGTTTAGTTAACGTTTGACATGTTTTAGGAGTTTTTATTACTCTCTGCTTTCACAAAATAGAAGCTTTATTTCGTTGAGTTTTGAAATCAGAGTTTGAAATCAAAGAGTTTGAAATCAAAGTTTTGATATCAGAACTGCACTTTTGTAATGCTACTTGATTGTTAACTGTCAGATTTTGATTATTTTTAACTCCTTCTTGTATTGACTGCTTCTGATCCATTTTAGATGATGAAAGTAATTCAATCTGAAACATTGTCATTTTGTAAGGCTTTTCGGTGTCATTTTGTGAGGCATTTTGATCAAAATTGATGATCAAACAAACACATTTAGGCTCATCATAAGCTTACTGGTTTTAAGAATACCAATAATTAGGCAAGGGGCATCCAATATAAATATGCCATCTTTGTATCATAAAATAAAACTGTCATTTTGTGAGGCATAACACTGTCATTTTGTGAGGCTAGGTCATTTTTTTGTCATTTCTTCTACCTAAGTCACTAAATCAGTTTTTTATTTGACCAGAGTAGTCTTTGATTGACATAAGTCATGGTAGTACCTGGTTTTCTGGGGTTAAATTCTAAACTTTGGTCTCCATTCTGGGTAACAGTTAGGCGGGGCAATGACTGAACAGCAAAAACGTCCATATTTATGTAAGAAATATAGATTCTATGTCATTATCATTCCTTGGGAAGTGTTAATTAATGCTTTTTCTTTCATACAGTAAAAGGAATAGGGTTCAATGTATAGGGAACCTAAGATACAGCATTGTCTATGTGGGCTGTCATTTTGTGAGGCCTGTCATTTTGTAAGGCCGATACCCGTACTTGTCTAAATTTCTTCGAAGTAGCGCGCGCCGCTTTCTTCTCAAAATGCCCGATGGCAAGTGCTACGAAGTAGCGCGCGCCGGGCCAGATCATTAACAATGGTCAACAATGTGGCTGTTGGAATACTCCAAAGTAAAATAAGTGTCTTGATAAAAAAATTGTTATTATTGAAGCAGAAACATGAACAGTGATACATGCATCATTCGACATCAAAGCAATATTCCCTAGTATCATTTAAACCATAGGATTAGATCAATGCAGGAAGCATTTGGACAAAAGAATTAAACACACAATAATTATAATATTGGTAGCAGTGGAAAATTTCCGTTACCTGAGTATAAGCTCTGCCGATTGCATCACTTGATTTAATTGAATGTATATATATATATATTGTTGAAAAAAATGTATATTAAAAAAGTAGGTTATGTATGTAATCATAAACGCAAATAAACTAAATCGGAACTATCGAGTGCCTCAAAACAAATAAGAGAGACTAGTAGACAAAACAAAAATAACCAAGCTGTTGGAGCATAAAGACGAACAGTTGAAGTCGCTTTAGTCGCAAAAGACAGTGGTACTGTTTGTAACAGCAAAACGTCGAGGAAGGATGTGCATTTTTTGATATCAGGGTTTTACACCCTGGAGCCAAATCCAACGCTAACCACAACACCCCAGCAAAGATGTACAAGAAGCATGAGAGAGAGAAAGAAAGGAAATATGGAGACCGCTGTGTACAGATCGAAAAAGGAACCTGCAGTGGCCTTGTATTCTCGACCACCGGAGGTATGGGCCCACAGGCTACCATGTTCCTTAAACGAGTGACAACACTTCTGGCAGCCAAGACCAGCCAGGACAAAAGCCTCATCATGGCAAATCTTAGACGTCGTTTGCGATTTGAGCTACTTAAAACAGTTTTGATTGCAGTGAGAGGACACAGAGGACGGTATTATGAGAAAGCAATACCTGTTGACGAACTGGACCTAAATCTCGCACACACCACCAGCGATGAAGACAGGGGTGATGATGTTGATGATGAAGATGAGGAAGTTAATGATGAGGTTGAGAATGTAGAGGAAGAGGTTGCAGAAGAGTGAGCTGAAAAGAAGACTAGATTCTATTCTAATTTATTGATTATCATATTTATTGAAATAAACATACAATATCCATTACTCCAGGAGTGATGACAGGATATATAATAGGAAGGATGTGAACAGTGTGGCTACAAGAAGAGGACATGAGCAGAAACCCGATATTTTAATTTAAAAGAAGAGGGAAAACCGCAGTTGGCTTAGTATAGGTAGACATGGTCTAGGAGAAGCTCAATAGGAGACCTCATTGCGAAGCATGCATCTTTATCCAGCTGAAAAAGGGACTGCTTTTCGAAAATTTAAAATAATCCTCTCGATCCCGCTCCTTCGCATAGCCATGTGTCCACGCGTATTTTTTTTTTAAATTTAAAAAAAAAAACAAATTTAAAATTTTATCCTTTATTTTACAATCATAATATAATAATACAGGGTGGCCCATAAGTGACTACCCACACGCAACCTCTTAATAACTCACGTAATTCGTCTCCAAATTGCACCAAAATTTCAGAGATTATAGATATGGGTCAAACTTAGATTTCCTGAAAGTTTCGTAAGCCACGCCCAATTACAGTGGGCGTGGCGTGACACTCCCTCTTTTTCACTATTGTCTTCATAAAATGAGAACGCTTTAAGCTAAGAACTCAAAATTCACCCAATCTGATCAAGAGTAAGGCGTTAGCGTGTATTAATGAGGTTCATTAGGCTTTGATTGGATACCGATGATGACTTTGCTAGAAAGGGAAACACAAATTTTTAGGATAAAAACCAGGTCGTGACCTTTTCAGGAAAAGCCGTTCTCTCCACCACTTCATCCGGTCTAGTAGAGCCCCAGTGAATTGCATTCTGGGAGTTGACATATCCGTTTATATGGCCTTGTCGCTGTACCAGATTTCGTCCTCAAAGTAGGGATCCACATTCTGCTTGGACAGGAATGTGTTGGCGAAATCTATCCTCGATTGGAAATCACGGTCCAAAAGTTTGTGTTTCTTTGTGATTCGGTAGGCCCGGTTAGAAAGGTCTTGCTTTAGGATTCGCTGAAGGGTTCTGCTGATGTCTAAGGCAGGAGCTCGTTTCCGGGTGCCAATCTTAGGTGTGTCCATCACGTCACCAACAACCATCGTGATGTTTTCTACAGTCCTTGCAGTTCGTCTTCTGCCGACTCTTCGCCGATCGTGTGCAGAAAACGTAAACTTGATCTTGTGATGAATGTCAAAGCAGCTTTTCCAAGAAGGGGGTGGTCGGTTGAATTTCATCTGAAATTGTCGTTTAATCTGAGGGTAGAACTCCCCATTTTCTTTCTTCAGGTAGACGAACAATCGTTGTTCTGCATTAAAGGGAGGATAGTGAACCATTTTCGATGATTCAATGGATGGTTCATTCCTTTTTATTGATTGTAAGGAACCTGTGACTAGCAGGGCTAACAAGCCCTGAAATGGTGACACCACCATAAATTCGTGTGATAGCGTTTTAGGTGCAGTCAGCTGTATAGGCCGGCCCATAAGCAGGCTGCAACCAATCAAGCGGTGCATGTGAGCCAAACAGGCCATTAACCAAGTGACGAGATCACTGACTGAGTGCTCGGATCACGTATCCGATGAGTTTTGAAATGGTCATAACTTAGCCATATTTTAACCAATGAACTTGAAACTTTGGGAAAGGTTTTCAATTATCAAGCC